CATGTCAACTGCTGCCGGTTACATGAGATTTTTTCAGAGTGTATGTACATTTCTTTCTCATAACCAGAATTGCAACAGTCTGTGCTGATTTGTATCTTAGAGTATATAAGTAGTCTTTCTTACACTGGTACAGACATACAGGCAAGTAGGCCCATATAGATTAGACCCATACATGTAATCTTCCATCCCTCTATCAATGCATACTTTTCCAGACATAATTTAGTCATATTTTCTTTCCCCCTCTTTTGCATATCTTGCCCTTAGTCACTCCTTGCATACTTTGCACTCATTCCTCAGAAACCTTGCATATTTTGCACATTATCCTCACCTCTGCTTATCTTTTTGCTCATACCCCCTGATTTGAAACTGAATCATCACTCCACAATCCTACTCCCTCATCACTCTCCTCATACACTCTGTGGTATTCTCACTAGTCTTTGATAACACAGCTCCCTGTCCTAGACCTCACTAAGAATTACTAGAATCTACACCACACCTTTCTAATAAAATTCTTTCTTCTTTTTCTTAGTGTAACTTTTCCCAACTCCAGCATTGTCCAGGAGGGAAGCTTCAACAGTACCCATAGCCTCAACTTACATTATTTGTAGTGTAGTTGTATATTTCCTCTCCAAGCTCTGTTTCTGATTGTTCAGCAGTTCCACAATGCCCAAATTGATCCATGGATGGTGTAGTAGAGATCTCATGTGCCAATTGTGTTGTCAAGACTCACTTCTTCAGGGGAGTAGAGGAGGTGATCACAAATTGTCTAGACGTAGTAAAATTCAATTGGCTGGAGCTATTTTGCTGTGTTGAGTTCTGATGACTTTTTTTGGATCCTGGCAATCCATTTTGCAATTGGTACATTTGGTTCATGACAAGCCAGCCAGAATTTATTCTCTAGCTGTACTCAACAAGCTCATATTTTCTTCTTGTACGTATCAACAATTGTGGAGAACAACTTAGAATCCAGTTTTAGATTTCTGTAACGTATTGTGTGGTTGACAGAGATTGTTAGTTTGATTGTTTTCCAAGAGAAATCTGATAGAGCATCCTAGTCTGCTGCAAAATCCTTGGGGTTGCACCCTTTTTGGCCCTTGGAATGACCAATCAACTTGCTATCCTTATTGTCAGAGGGAAAAAGGAGTTACTTGTCCAATGTCTAGAAAATTCATAATTTCTAGAAAATCCAAAAGTCAAGATTGCCAGGCTTCAAAAACAACCAAGCTTCTGTCCAGGATTGGGACTTTGGGGATAAGGTGAGAGTGGCTATTGAGAGTTCTCAGAGGCATGGTTGAGTTTCTGTACTGCAAATTTCAGTTGCTGAGTCAAAAGACAAAAAAATAAGTTTGAGGAGATCAATGAGATTCAAAAGATCAGGAGCTGTTGAATTTTCCTCTCTCTCTCTCTCTCTCTCTCTCTCTCTCTCTCTCTCTTCTTTATTCAATATGATTTGTTATTCATTTCTCACAAACCACATTTTTCACCATGTTTTTACTCTATTTAATCTGTTCTGGTTGAAAGGAATAAAATTCATGATGAGATATCTGTGACATGTTACTTTCTTTTTCCATGTCTACAGCTATTTGTGTGCTTCTTCAGATTTCATTCTCTATATGTCACAGATTGTGACATCCACTTTGTTTCTCTAGTTCTTATACTGGATTCTTCAGAGCTTGGAAGGATTTCCTTTTCCTCATCCTTTCCAACTCTTTTGTCTCCAGGTATGTCTTTCTCTCTTCTTTTTCATCTCTCTCTCTTTCTCTCAAACTGAAATGAACAACATCCTTTCCAACTCTTTTGTCTCCAGTAGGGTTGATGGCGCCACATTTGGAAAAGTGCGCGCCAAAGGGCACGTCCAAACTTGTTACCAAGTGCGCGCCGTTGGCGGGTGCAAGGGTGCTGTGCAATTTCCATATTCAGAAACTGTTTTGCACAGTTTTTGGTGTTTTTTTCTCTTTTTTTTCAAGCTTAAACTTTTCTTGCCCTGCCACTGGTTGACTGAACCTGACAATTGCAGTATTGGGTCCAGGGGTCAGGGGTCTTTGGGGGCAAAAAATAATCCAATTTCAAGAAGCCCCCCCCCCCCAAAAAAAAAAAAAAACAGCAATCCTCTATGGGCTGCACATAGAGAACCCCCCAAAAAAGCTAGGGTTAGCAGTGCGCGCACCCCCCCCCCCTTGTTCATCATTTTGTGTGTGCCAAGAGCGCGCATGTGAGGCGCCCACACATCAGTGCACCCTTGGGGTGGCACCATCAAACCTAGTCTTCAGTCTCCAAGGGTGTTCATTCCAACAATTCATTGGTTCTGTCATTCTTTTTCTGCAAACCTTTCCCAAAAAAGTATTTTCCCTTTTTTGTCCCTCTGTCTCTTAAGCACAATAAGTTCAAAATTTCAACAGGAGCTAGCCTAGAGCAACAAAGGGGTCATAAATTGTTGAGGCAAATACAGGTATGTGGGACTGAGTCACAGACTATCCGTGACAGGTGAGAATAATAACTATGATAAATGATGTTTAAATTCAGAGAGGAAAGTGAATCAGGACATGGAACAGAGTGAGATAAATACAACTAGGATGAAGCATACCTCAGTACAAGCATCTTAACAAGGACTTATCTACAGCCAACTCCGCGGCCTGAGAGAATTTGGATTTTTGGAAGAAAATTTCATAATCAATCTAACAGAAATTTGGGGGTTGATAAGCGCAAGCCAACCCCCTTGCACATGCCAATCTGCACGCCACTTGCAGATTGGTTTGCAGGCCCACACGCCAAAGCAGATTGGTTTGCAGGCCTGCACGCAGCGGTGGGCCGCTACGCTACAGGCCCATGTAGTGTTAGCGTAGCGGCACCATTTTTTTTGTGTAGTGTTAGCGCGCCGCTACTGCCACTGCGCTACGCTAACTTGTAGCGGCGCTAACACTAGCCAAATTTTGGTGTAGTGTTAGCGCACCGCTGGCGCCGCTACGCTACAGCGTTTTTAGCGGCAAAAAACGCCTAAAAACCGCTAAAAACGGCTGTAACGCAGCGTAGCGGGCGGTTTTTCGTGCCCTGTGCGCGTAGCGTTAGCGCACATGGGGGAATCGCGCTAACGCTACGCTAAAAGTTAGCGCAAATCTTTCCCCCATGCGCGTAGCGTTAGCGCAAAAATTGAAAAACGCGCTAACGCTACGCTACAGTGTAGTGATTTTTTGCTACGGTTAGCGTAGCTGGCCCACCGTTGCTGCACGCCAATCAACTGGGTCCTATGGAATAGCCCTGGTCCTAAACCCATATTAATATGGGTTGAGCACCTGCAAGCCAATCAACCTTGCTGCAGATTGGCGTGCGCAAGGGGGGTTGGCTTGCACTTATCAACCCCCCAGAAATTTGGCTGATTGAGTTTTCTTCTAGTTTTCACATTGAGAATCTTACAAGCTGTCCCCATCTATGTACTAACTTTTCTAATGCTAAACACATCTCCTTGATTAACAATGATGATTGTAACATTGCCAATTTCAGATACTGCACAGCGCAAGATGTGTGATGCAGGATGGAGCAGGAAAATTGTAGTCAAAAAAGTCCACTTGCGCTGTCTCGCCTCTGGTACCAACAAGCAGACCCACTCGGCTTCTGAGGAGGGTCAAGCCATGTGGTTCTGCTTGCTGGTGTGGGAAAGAGGAGTCAGGGGAGGGTCACTCCTGCCCTCAGCCTGACCAGGTAGCGCGGCAGCGCGAATGTGTAGGATCTTGGGGAAAGGGAGAGGGGTTCAGGCACAAGGCCTGCTCCCACGCCTTGATAAGGGAATATTCATCTCATTATTCTCCTTTGTCCTCCTTTCCTAAATCCCTGCAATCTAAAATGGGGTGGGTGGGTGGTAGAAAAAACGTCTTAGGTAGTCAAGACTGCGAGATGGCTGAGCGGAGCAGTCTGGGGAGGGTGAGGGATGATGAGGATAGCTACTTCGTGAGGGGGGGGGGGGGAGCTAGAAGTATGGAAGTGATGAGGGTGCTTCCTAGGGCACAGACCTCACATGCTCATCACCCGTGAGTCACTCAGCCCAGACTGGTCCGACTGCGGCCGTGGACTGAGCTGGCTTCTCCTGGGGGACAGCCAGCAGCAAGGAATTATAATGCCACCCAAGGCCTAAAAAATATTGAAAATTTGGATGATTCTCTATGATCTTGTGCATATTTTGTTTCCCCAAAACACAATCATCAGCTGTAAAATGGTGCTGCTACATATGATTAAAAAGGATGGTTTTCCTAATTTTCTCATGCCACAAGGTTGACTTTGCACATCAGTGGGAACTTCACACCTCCCGATGCAATTGGAGGGACCTATTCAAGTTAGGATGTGTTGGAATTTCACTTGAGCTTTCCCTCTTTTCATTCTCTTTCACAACCATGTGAATCATTTTTCCTTTGATTGTTGAATATGCACTACTTTATTCATTGTGCATCAAATTCTGTCCCACAAATTGATCACGTTGTATCTAGTCTATTAAACCCTACTAGATAAAAAAGAAACTAAGTCATCAGTCTTTAGCTATACATCAATGAGTAGCTGACAAGCTTGCCTTGTGTCTTATTCAGAAGTTGGTTGGAGATCTTCAACCATCATCTTTTTAAACTGGCTCAATGAGATTTTATTATAACAATAAACCTGTTCAAAATGGAGAAATTTATTAACAAATAATGAAAGTACAAGCATAATCAATTTTTTATCAAGCATTTATGGAACAATTGGTCAGTTATGAAGGTTTCAAGAAACAATTGTAATTTATTTGTACAAGGATTGATAGAAAAATGAAGTGAAAAAAGTGTGGGTTTTGTAGCTAAAGTAAAAGAATCCAAGTTAGGATAAAATTTTATGGCACCATTGGCCTTGAACAATAATTGAAAAATCACTTTTTTAGTAAAATGTCCAGTTTTTTTGTTTTTCGTTTTTTACTCGACCCAAGTGGGAAATAATCCAGTAGTGAAATCAACACCGGTTTGAAAATGAAACAAGAAAAGCATTTTGTTTGACAATTACTGCGCAATTCAATCAAACAGTAAGAATTAATTGTCACATGAAATTAGGCATTGAACACTTAATGTTCTGGAGCTTGATCTCGTTGAATTGCGAAGGAATCCCGGTGCCGGTGGATTTCGGTACGTGAATCGGTGAACTTTGGTTTCCGTTGACGTTGCTTCGGCTATGCACAAGGCTGGGTCGTAGGGACTTGTCCTGTTGGCCGGCGTATTTTGGCCCTAAGGCATTCGGTGATTTCGATAGCTTCTGCCTTTCGGAGTTTTGGGGACTCCCGCGTGAGACACCTTCCTTGGTCTTCGAACAGCCTTTTACTAGCAGGTGTCTTTTGAGTGCGTCTTTGCGTGCAAAAGCCTTATCGCAACAGCTACAGGGAAAGGCTATTAAAGATTTTCGGAATAAGTTCACAGTCTTGCGAAATGTTGATAACCCGTCTAACTTACGTTTGATATCCAAATGTATCCGCGCATGCCTCTTGAGATCGTGATTCCGACTAAAGCTCGATCCGCACTTGTCGCATTTATAAGGCCTATCCAAGCTGTAGGTTGGTGCTTTGGCCCTAAAATCTTTGCGGAAACTCTGCATGTAGATTTCGGGATATCCCCCAAATGAGCATGAGGTAGGAAGGCCGACACCACCTTGGTGGGGTTGATCAGGATGTATCGAATGGGATTGGGGAGTAATTCGATCATCGTAATGAGATGAATAAGTGGTATCATAGCTCGATTGGGATCCGGTTCGATAAGGTGTGTTGCAACCTAGCAAAATATCTGGGGCCTCCGACTGGATACTGGGAAGGTAAATCCTTTTGTCGTCCGTCAGGCTGTAGCTTTGAGAAGAGGCACTGGAGGCCATTGAGTTCATTCTGATACGATGCGCGGGCTCCCCAATATCATTCGTGCCGTCGCAATCGAAATTGGCGGGAGTATTGTAGTTTTCAAAGAAACCCCAGTTTGTATCGTAAGGCCTGATGTTGTTCTGAAGCCCGCCGAGATCTGCGACATGAGCCGGTTGTGTGTTTGGGAGGTAAACGTCGTGAGGAACTGCGTAGTCTAACCCATAACTCGGCGAGGTCGCACACAAGTTAGATCCAAATTGAGGGTTCGATTCTGTTAGAATGTAGGAGGAATGCAGAAGTTGATTGTCATCAGAATAAGACATGCCTAACATGCATAAGAAAAAGAAAACGAGAGGATATGAACCTATGGGTTCCTCCCAGGAGTATCTAAGGTTGGTCGAATTTTCGCTCGAGATGTTCATCTTGAGAAAAGCAAAGGTTGCAAGAAGGCAAAAGATTGGCTGTAAATGTGATTCTTGGGTGGAAATGTATGCGCTGGTCGATAAGAAACAGATCTTGTTAGGAGATTAGGGAAACTATTGGTGAAGTGGTTTCCAATGACTTCAGTGTTTACAGGTTGCGGAGGGCAGTGGTGGAAGATGCAAGGATTTGGGTGAATAACGCCTTCCACATATACTCAACGGATACAATGATTGGAAAGCCGAACGGCGGAAGTGAGTGAGTATGTATTTTGGGCTTGGAGGGAATGAGCAGAGACAAAGCAAGATGGATGATATATAGATCCATCAACGAAAATTATTGCCATAACTTCGTAGAAAAGAGTGTATCGCAGTACCAGCACCCTAGTGACTGTTCGGTATTTGGAGCTATGTATGCTTAGCTCCCTCAATCTTTCGTCTCTTGAATTCCAAGAAACCCGATACAGCTCTTCAGTTTCCAACTGCAACCAATTGTTAAAGTGGCTATGTATGGCTATATCATTTCCCTGAACCCTCTGTATCACATCCTCCGGCCGTTGGCTTGTAATGATGGTCAATTCATGCACCCTCCCCGATGCGCTCTAGTTGCTCTAAATTGTGGGGAGAAGATGAAGAATACAGAAGAAATCAAGTTTTTTCAATTGTCTCTTGCCAACATTTCTTGTGGATCGCCTCTCTTCCTTGAGCTTCGAATGTACAATCTCGAAATGTAAGGGTGGGTCGACTGTTTGCGTGGGTTTGCGCCTCATGAGGTGTCTTGTCGAGGACTGTACGTGGTGCTCATTGAGACGCACCACACGAGATGTTCATCTCTATCAATTCAATTTTCAACTACGAAATCATTCAGCTCTACAATCGAGCTCCATCAATGGACGTGTACATCTGTCATATATGTATACAAATATGTACAGCCACGGAAGAAAATTGCTGAAGCATGGCAACCTGCTATGTATCTGTATTATCACTTCAGTGAGCACGGCTCTTGCACGCCATGTGGCCCTGGTATGTAACCTCCGAGAGACACTGAATCATTCTTCTGGAATTGCACCTCAGGTTGTTCAGGTTGACATCAGTGACACTTGAAGTCCAACATGCAGTGAGCTTTGGTTGACTTCGACAGCCGCGTAAGCGCGATGAAAGTTAATGATATTGCAGAGGCCGGCTCCAGTAAGAATACAGAACCAATTTCGCGGTGTCGCCTTTTCCCGGAGTTATGGTTCCTGGGCCAAACAACTTAGGCTATCTATAGAAGAGATAGGCATTGCCATTCGGGACCAGAATACCGATAGGATTTCAATCATGTATATTCCCTTTAGAGAGCCAGAGCTTTGTAGGGTACCCCACTTGGCCCTTCCGTGAATTGTCTTGGCCGCGTGCACTCGCGTCAGGTGAGAAGAAGGAGCATACTACGATGCTTAGGCACGTCAAGGTTCAGAGTCAACATTTTCTTCTACCTTCTCAAATCCCGACTGACATTCAGCAGTCTAGACCTGGTCCCCGTCCAATGAGTGCGTGATGTATCTAATCCAAGGCACTTCAATTTACATCACCGAATGCGTATTTTGAGCTGATGTCTTTCACGTTGGTTTCAATGTCGCAATATGGAATTGATTGATTGATTCTTCGTTGCCGGTCGGGCTTAACCCTCCTACCCCTCAACGTGATTTACAACAGTTTGAAGAAATGACGGTGCTTCACCGCCCAATCCAAATTCTGTAGAAGTCCCCCGGCACCGCACACTGCGCGGACAGGGAAGTTTTTTTGTGTTGTTTTTTCCTCTTTGAAGATGTGAGAAATAGGGATAAAAGAAGAATGCAATCAAAGCTTTCTCAACCGCGGCCTCAGGATGTGAAGCGGGTGAGCCGAAACGTTGACTGATACCGACAGGGACTCCAAGAGCCATGATAAAATCAGCCGGATCAGGCGAGACGAAGCTTGTGCCAATTGAATCCATCGACAGTCGAATCTCATTATAAGGCTATTAACGAGATCTACAGTCATTTCCAGCGGACCCGCTGCCGGGAAACACGTGGTGTCCAGTCAGAATAATGTATTGACGTAAATGAGTAATTCCTCCCAAGTTGCGCTGGATTTCCGTCCGTCCAGCAGAGCGGAGTCTGTCAGAACCAAGGCCACCAATAGTGTGAGGTGTCACCGGGAAGGTGGTCGTGGGTGGTCTCAAAAATCTGTACCATCCCATATTACAACGAATACGTAGTTCAAGTTGGGTAAATCGGGTGTTAGGGTCAGACTTATTAGGTCCGCGCGTGTTCGCTCAGGTACACTTTCGTTGCTGCTAACGATGGCATAAAGTTTTGCAAAAGTTAGGGCTGAGCAATGTGATTATTGTGATATGTTCTCGTGCCAATGATTCCAAGCACGGGTCACCCATTTTCTATTTGCCAATTGTCGGTGTTTGGGAAATAATCCGGTGCTCTTCGCCATGGAATTACAGGTGAAATATAGTCTAATACCGCATTTATCAATTGTAGTTTCTGCGAAAGACTGTTCTGAATAGGCATGAAGGGCATCAATAGATATAACAGATATGGTTGGCTCCCCCGGGAACCACAGCATATCTATTTCCTCAAGTTTCATTTGACTAACTGTGAATTGTACGTTCTCCGCGGTGCCCCTTCAACCATGTCGGCATCAACACCATCAATGTTCAACGATCTCTCCGAGGCTTTTTCACTTGTCAATTCTATGTCAGCCGTTCTCAATCCATATCCATTAATATTGCAAGCTATTGCTTCCCAGAAAGCGAAAATCGCAAACCCCAGCCTCCCGAAAGTCGTTTTTGTCTTAGGGGTCGTCCATCTCGTTCTTTTACTTCTCGCAGCAATCACATTCTTTTTAAAAGCTTCGAGGAAAGACAACGGAAAACGACGGAAAATCTGGTTTTGGCGAACACATTACGTTGCAAACCAAACGATTCCTTATCTTGTGCCCAATGGGAATTTTTCCATTGAGCTTTTGCAAATATTCAGCTGTTCTTTCTACATTATTTTTTCAGTTACTACTTACGCAGTATGTACGTACCCTCAAGTCCCATCTGACATTACTCATGCAAGCATCATCTTTTGGTACGCAATTGCCATTGTTCCCGGTGGGTGAAAAATCAGTATAATCTTTCTTGGTTTAACTTGTTCTTTGTTCTTCCCGTTGACGACATTGATTCTTGTGTGTATGTAGATGCTGCTGCTTTCTGGTGGGGCGGATGGGCCGCAATTTATCTGGTGTGAATTTCTTTGATTTGATCATGCAAGGTTCCGGTAATCAATGAAAAGTAAAAGCTCATACTTGGTTAAACATAACGAAACAGTTACCTTTCACCGACTCAATTGGACATAACAGATTCAAACACCAAGAAGTCTTTTATCCGCCACCCCATTTTTATGAATACTCTCTGCATAGGGGTGCCGGCAGTGGTTGCAACTTACTTTTTAATCGTTGGGATTACGATGGCGGTCGAGCTCAAACAAATACTAAATTCTTACAACCTCCTGGGGACAACCCTCCATGAATTATCGGTACTTTGGAAACCTGATGACCCGCTGAACCATGAAAAAAATCGAACCCTTTTCAACCTCTTTGAAACAATCTTAGGACAAGTCTCACGAGTTACTGCCGTAGCCCAGAGGGAAACCTATGGCTGGGCTGCTGTATCAATCTCTATGATTGCGGTAGGCATCTATCATCCTCACCAATTTTCAGGTCTTTTTTCTTATTGTAGAAGCTGATTTGCTTACTTCCTGATTTTTTTTTGTAATTTGCCGAAAATAAGTTTTATTTAGCTACCACAATTTCTGCCGGCCATTTATTGAAGCGTACGTTATCGATCGCCACCGGGAAGAAGTCGCTGTGTGAAAAGCGCATTGATCCAGATAAATCTGTAAATTACCTCGATGAGAGCATTTCAAGTATTGATTCCAAGGCCGGATCAGAAGGATTCAAGCTCACGTTCGTCAAGTGTACGTCCACACTGAGGTTACAAAGGGGTTATTGTAAGTACCCGCCTGTCTCAAGGTCACCGACATAATTCATTTTGGGGCATTCGTAACATCTGATGATATTCTTCGAGTACAGATTTCATTTACATCAGTTGTGCGATCATGCTCGCAGTTCTGGGTTTGAATATCTGCATCAGTGTTATCTTTGGATTGAAGACCAAAGTAATCTTGATCCAGTACGCATAAATTAGCCTTCTCTGTTTGAATCCATATGCTTGTGTCAAACTGACTCAAGTTTTATAACAGGACAGATTGGCAAATTCGTCTCTTGACGATGATAAGCAGTACAAGTGCCCTGCTATCATTCTCACTGTTTCTCCAAAGTGTAAGCTTGAGACAACTGCAAGGAAAACGCCAACTGCTTGATAAAGCTGATGGTTTGATTCTGCTTCCTAGCTCATGCTGTTAGTTTGGGGTTAACAACACACTCTTTATGTTAGCAGATATTGAATCACTCCAAGTCAGTCAATTCGAACATGACTGTTTCCACACATCACATTTGTTTTCGGACCGGCTTCTCAAGATCGAGAGATCCTTCGGTTTTACGCTTGGAGCCCAACTACCGGACGTACTTCTTGGAATCTTTAGCCTTTGATTTATCTTGCCTTGTACGGTCATTCATGAAATGCCATGCAGAAGACATCCAATGCAATATGGAAGTCAATCCTGACCCAATGACGAGCGAGAGAGTATGAAAAAAATTATAAAAAAATGCATCAGCTTGTTTTGGAGAAAGAGACAAGACAGACAATAGGCGCTTGTAGAGAGAAATGACATAAGATGATAATACAAAGAAATAGACATACCGACAAGGAGATTACAAGCCAAAACAACGAGGTGAAGATTAAAATCGAGCAGAGGAGTGTGGGATCAGTTGACTTGAAGGATACTAGTTGTCAGAAAAAAAGTTGGCAACAGAACAAAAGTAAAAGAAATCACAACAAAGTTGATTGGGGACTATAGTGGCGCAGACGTCCATGACTTGACCGGCCGGATCTAGCGTCAAAGACCCTGGTGCCACCCGCCAATCGATCCATCATCTCGAGTGCAACACTGAGCCGATTACACAAGGCTTTGGTAAACCATCACAAGGCTTTGGTAAACCATCACAAGGCTTTGGTAAACCATCATTAATGAAATCTGTTAGATGAGCTCCTTTTTCCATACCATCGAGCAAGGGTAAGTAGAGACATGTGCTGAGAGTCGTGAGGCCCCCAGGGGATTCCACAAGCCACGAAAATCAGTTGAGTCAGTCGAGACGAAGCTTGCTTGTGCTCAAAGGCAAGAGTTGAATATCAATTTCGGCAAACAATCAGCGAGGTCTGAAACCATCTTTGGCAGACGCGCTGGCCGGAAGACACGTGGTGGACACTTGTGGGATGTATGTAGTAGACTCGCGTTCGGAAGACCCAAGGCTGCTACATCTTTTCGGTGTCACCGGGAAGGTGGGTGTGGTCTCCAATTTAATGAAGCCTCTCTGAAATTGAGGGACTTCATCAGTTAGGTGTAGTATCAAAAGTTCGAACCAATATGAACTGCCAATACATGCCCATATGCCAGACAATACGGTAGATCCGATCGAACTTAACCAAGTCCCTCCTCTTGCCCGAGGCTTGGCAGAAGCCTCAGGCAAGGAGGGACTTAGTTAAGTTCGAGATCCGATGCAGAGCGGGCAGTCTTTGATGGCACTTTCAGTAAATACTGATCAAATATGATAATAATAACTATTATCATGACCTATTCTCGTGCCAATGATTCCAGGCACGGGTCCCCAATTTTCATTTTTCATGTCGGTGCTGGCACTGCTGGGTTAATAATCCAATGCTAATATTCGCCATGGAAATACAGCGGATTTTTCAAATTAAGTTAGTCCGGAAGAGTCTTTCGGGACGGACATAGGCTTCGCCAAGCTTCGCTAAGTGGAATACAACAAGCAAGGTTGGCTCATGAAGTCAAGAGACGAGATATTTAACTGCAATAGTTCCTCCAGTCTCATTTGTCTCTTGTGGATCGTCTCTTCTCCGCCGCAACTTATACACTAGGGAGCCCGGCCACCCCTGCGGATGATGTCGGAATCAGCTCTATCGATGTTAGACGACCCCTCCGATGCCCTTTCACTTGTCAATTCTATGTCAGAGGTTCTGAATCCTTATCCACTCATACTAAAAACGGTTACGACTCAAAGAGAAAAACTCGCAAACCCCAGTCTGCCTCAAGTCGCGCTTGCCTTAGGAGTTGCCCATCTTATTCTTCTACTCCTCGCTGGGTTCACATTCTTCTTGAAAGCTTCACGAAAACAAGATGGTGAACGTCGTAAAATTTGGCTCTGGCGAAGGCATTACGTGGCAAACCAAACGATCCCTTATCTCGTCCCCAACGGGAATTTTTCGATCGAGCTTTTGCAAATGTTCAGCTGTTCTTTCTATATTATTTTTTCAGCTACTACTTACATCATATGCAAGTACCCTCAACATCCCCCTAAAATTATTCATGCCAGTACAATATTTTGGTACGCAATATCCATCGTACCCGGTGCGTAAACAAATCAGTTCATTTACCTTTCTTCTTCCAGGCCTGTTCTTTTTTTCATCTGGCTGATATTATTTTAACTTATTGTTATGATTCGCAGATGCTGCTGCTTTCTGGTGGGGCGGATGGGCGGCAATCTATCTTGTGTGAATATCTTTGACTTGATCTTTCAAGGCTTCCCTTCCCATCAATTAATAAATCAATCAAGAACTCAAGAAGCTCATGTTTAACTTAATACAATCCCAAAACAGTTACTTCTCCCCGACTCGATCGGACATTGAACACTCAAACCGCAGGAGGTCTTTTATCCATCACCCACTGTTTATGAATACTATCTGCATAGGGGTACCCGTGGTGGTTGCAATTTTTTTTTTGGTCATTGGGATTACGATGGCTGTCGAGCTCAGGAAAATAATCGATTCCTACAATCTCCTGTCGAAAACCCTCGACCAATTATCGGCTCTGTGGAAACCTGATGACCCTCTAAACCACGAAAAAAATGAAATGCTGTTCAACATTGTTAAATCGCTCTTAGGTCGATCCTTGCGAATTTCCAGCTTAGCCCGCAGGGACAACTATGGTTGGACTGCCGTCTCGATCTCGACGATTTCGGTAGCTAGCTCTCTCTATTCATCTAGATACCTTCCAACTTTGTATTTTATTCAAAAAGCTGATTTTGTTCCCTCGTTTTTTGTTATTTGCAATCAAAAGTTTTATTTAGCTTCGACCATTGCTGCCGGGCAATTATTAAAGCGCACGTTATTGATTGCCACCGGGAAGAAACCGCTGTGGGAGAAGCAATGTGCTTTTCATACCAAACGGGGTGGATATCTGAATCAGAGCATCTCGACTGTTACTTCTAAAGCCGAATCAGAAGTAACCAAGCCCATGTTTGTGATATGCAATTCTACACAGAGGCTACAAAGGGGTTATCGTGAGTATTCCCTGTTTCAAGGTCACGCGCTGAACAAAAGTCTTGTAATAACTCCATTTTTCGTTTCGTTTGGTGATATTTGTAACTGCTGATGATTCTTGCAGATTTTATTTACATCAGTTGTGTGATCATGCTCGCGGTTCTGGGTTTGAATATCTGCATCAGTGTCATTCTTGCATTGAAGACCAAAGTAGTCTTGATCCAGTACGCACAAATTTAAGCTTCCTTCTTTGAATCAAACTGACTCAAGTTGCACAACAGGACATATTGGCAAATTCGTCTCCTAGTGATGATAAGCAGTACAAGTGTCCTACTTTCGTTCACGTTGTTTCTCCAAAGCGTAGGTTTGATGAAACTTCCTGAAAGAGACTGACCGGTTAAGCTAACCAAACTTGGTTCTGCCTTCATAGCTCATGCTTTTAGTTTGGGGTTAGCATCACCCACCTTATCGTACCACGCAGGTTCTAGGAGGAATTACTCAAAGCCTGAAGTCAAACATTACCTTTGTACAAATTGCATTCAAGATTAAAAGGTGATGTATGGCTCGTCAGGGCTCGCCCAGGCGGTGCGAGACTCGTATCTCCAAATGCTGTCTTTTCAATGTATTCCTTGTCGGACGGTTGTTTATTAAACCCGAAAATTGTAAATTAAAAGTGATGCCAAGCGGGTGGAAGATGAGGACCCAGGAAGCCCCCTATAGAAGTGCCGAACCAAAAATCTAAGATTTTGCCAAAATTCCTACATTTCCAAAAGCCATTCATACACATTTCGTGCTTATCCTCCTGCAGAGGGGGGTGTGTGAGGGAGGACCCAGGAAAGCCACAGTAACCAAAATGTATGAATTTTTGGTCAAAAACCAAAAAAGGTACTCACCCCAAATGTATGAATTGCTGTTTTTGCCCAGAAAGGTACTCACCTCAAATGTATGGATTTTGCACCAAAGAAGGGGAGGTAGTAACCAAAGGTGTATGAAAGTCACAAAATTTTTGGCCACAATGCTCCCCAAGGCCACCCTTCTAACTTGTAAGCCCAGGCTCAATGCTTTGAAGGGCTGATGTGTAGTTCAGATGGACTGTTTGCACCAGCAACTAGACCCCTTGAAGTGAGGGCTGGTGTATGGTTAGCTTCTCCCCCTTTTTTTGCCTCTTTTACCCCTCCCCCCCTCCCCCCTGTGCAGAAGGTAGGCACCAAAAATGTATGAATTCACATGGAAAGTGGTGAACCTACGCACAAAACGTGTATGAATGGGCTCAAAAAATGTATGAATTTTTCAAAAATCCTGGTTTTTTGGTTACTGTGTTCTATAGGGGCTTTCCTGGGTCCTGGTGTGTGTGTGCAGAGCACTGTAAATTCCGAGCCTAACTAGGCCTCCACGGCGGGAGCGGGAGCGAGCAGCGGAGCTGTCCACGCCAGTGGAGGCCTAAGACAGATGTGGCAATCCCCGCGTGCTGAGTTTTCAAATTTGGGCTTCAAAGCCAGTTTTTTGTGCATTTTTCTGCCTATGCTCTTCCTCTTCCACTATTATCTAATTTCTTCGTGGACCAAGGAGGGTCTGCTTCTTGTAAATGTTTCCCTCTGCTCACATTATTTTGTAATTTTGTCAATTTTGATATAGTTATTTTTGAAAATGACAACTTTTCAACAAAAGTTGAGTTTGTTTGGTGTGCGCGAGTTCATCAAGCTGCTTATGTGAGCGTAAAAAAAGTTCAAACATTGGTTTTAGAAAATCAAATATTAATTACTTTTGTGATTTTAAAATTTTGAATTTTGGCCTGATCAATAAGATCAGACAGGTCTTTAAAAATCCAAGACCAAACATCAAAAAAGTTTTGAGGGAGCGTCATGATTTCAAATCTTGTGACACTCCCACCAAAACACCAGAAACTCAGCACCTGAGTTTGTCGACCTCTGGCCCAAGTCTCCCCTGCGGGGAGTTCCCTTTGGGAACCGACTGGCCAGCGCTACACTGCCAGATGCGCCCCCCGCAGCCTGAGACTTGCGATAAGTTTGTGTAAATTCCAATCCTCCAGATTATCCAGCAACCTCAAACTTGCTTGCCATGTGCCTTTTTCGCCGCCAAAAGTTAGGGTTTTTCCTTTCACCTTTTTGAGGTGTTTAAGGCCCTGATTATAAACCAAGTTTTTGGATTTTGGCTTTTTTTATTTGAAAAGTATTTGAAAACAAAAAAGAAATCAAAAAGAAGTTCAAACACTTTTCAAAACCTACTCAAATAATTTCTGCAATTATAAACCCCCCAGGCCAGGGGGTCTGTATTACGTCTGGGTGCAATTGCAAGAAACAGTAACAGTGTGAACTGTTCCTTGTGTGATTTGTCAGACTTTGCCGTTTCGATGCATCAAAACGGTCACTTTCAATGAGGATTGCTTCTTGTGTGAATGAGAAGCAATCCAGCAGTTTGTTTCTATGAAGTGGGTAGTGATTATATTACACGCTTTGGTAATGGTCAAGCCGTATGGTCAATAGGACCTCATGTACTACAACTTAAGAGCAACTCCACCGCGGGCCCTAGTTTCGGGCCGTTAAAATTTGATCGTTGGGACTGCGCCGCCAACTTTACAGCCTTGAAGTGCTGTGGCATGCACCGCAAGAGTCTTCAAAAATCCGTGAAAGGGTGGTGTGAAGTTGGAAGCGATTCGGATTGAGGTGGAGGAGTAGAGTTTCACAAGCTGGTTGTTGTGTGAAAGGGGATTGAGCGGTCGATAGAGGAGTCGCTAGGAGTCCCTACATGTAGAGACTCGGGCTCGAAATTTAGGGACGGCCGTAGATTTGGGACACAAATAGCGGCCGCGGTGGCTCATGTTGAGTCTGTAAATTCCAACTAGCGACCCGATTTACCGCCCGCGGTGGAGTTGCTCTAAGCCTCGGCCATAGTTAAGACAACACTTGATACCATACAGCCCAATACCAACCCAACTTCTGTATTGTTTGCAAAAATGAAGTTTTTGAGATCTCAAACCACCTCCGGAGGTGGTTTGAAAGTTTTTGAGTCAGCTTTTGAAAGAAAAAAGAAATGAAAAAGAAATGAAAAAGAAGTTTGAATACTTTTGGCAAACTTTCAAATATATTTCAAAATATTCTTTATAATCAGGGCCTAACATCAAGTTGTATCCACCAATCAATTCACACAGGAAAAAGCAAAAAAAAAAAAGACCCAAAAAGACACGGAAAATGGGGCAAAATTTGGATATGTAATTGTACATCATTCATACATTCTAGGTTAGTGTACCCTATGAGGATAAAAAGGCCATTCATACGTTTTTGGTGTGTATCATTTTGAATTTTTGCCCAGAAATCTTTACATTTTGGTTAGGCGCCTATATGTAGGGGGTTGCCTGGGTCCTGACTGTGCATTGATTTCTCAATTGAAGGATGACCAGCACCCACGCATCGTCCATAGATGAGTACACAACCCGCTGACCTTCACAACACACCCATCCAAACCTGCAAACACCACCCATAGCAGAGACACAACACAGAAAACAAACAGGGGACGGGGAGATGGAGATGGAGAGCTACAACCACCACACCGTCCTACTTATTCCCACCAACCAAAGATTACACAGATACACAATCCACCCAAACAACAACAAAGTGGGGTAGGGTGCAACAGAAGAGGAAGAGCTCAGATGAGCCAGCGGAATTGCAAGAGCAGTGTTACATGGGCTACTTCAAGAAGCTACCCCCCCCCCACCGAGCCAAAAAAAAAAAAAAAGAGGAGAAACGAGCAAGTATGTAGAGTACAATTTTTTATGAGGAGGAGGAAAACAAGTACAAAAACACGGCAAGATGGATGTGCTGGTCTCCATCAACTCCGATCCGGAGGGAAGGGACCCGATTCACGAGGCGTCTAGAGCAGCCAAAGCGTCGAGACATCCGTCTTTCAGCGCGCCTCGATGGGCTTTATCGACATGCTCATTGAGCGTATAAGCGAGACTCAAACAACTACCCAAACCAAACCAAACAAAAAAAACCCGCACAATCAACACGATTTGCGGACCACGATGAGAGAAAAGAAAAGAAGAAGGGCAAGACTGACTCGGGCTTTCCGATCACAGGCGAGACTTTACAGGAGACGAGAGAGAGCGGGGCGGGGTGCAAGGGGTCTGCGATTTCCTGGCCGTCGAAGAGGAAATGGCAGCGGGCGACCGTGCAGGTCTTGGCCGACCTGATCGTCACCCGGACGTCCATCGTCTGGCTCGCCGGATCACCCCCACCCCTCGGGCCGGCCCGGGTCTTGGGCTCATCATCCTCGATCACCACCGAGACACTAAACCGAGCCTTGGCGTTCGTGATCTCCCATAGTAGTTGTAGGGCTTGGTACCACATCGACGAGATCTGTTGGACACACTCCTGATCGTTTGTTTTGTTCAAGCATGATACAAAAATTCCATGTCAGTTGGGTCGTGAGGGATTAGTTTAGAGACAAAGAAGGCATACTCGGACTCTTCCCAGACCCTGTGCGCGCTCGAAATGGGCCTTCAGATGGCCGAAGAAGAACAACTTGACGGTCCGACGCAATGGACACTGTTCGGGCGCCGTTGATGGGCCCGGCTGCTCGCTCCAGCTCAGCTCGACCCTTCTGACGCTCCGATAGGGTTCCTCAGGCTTGAAGGGGGCCAGATGGAGTTTCACGCCGATCGTCGAATAGAAGATGAACTCCATCAGCTCGTCCTCGAACCGGACCACTTCCCAGCCTAACATGCTCTGTAACATCTTGAACTCGTCTGTTATAACAGTCAACATACACACACACAGAAGCCGGTAAGTTGCAAACCAAAATCATCATCAAGATATCCTTGGTCTGCTTACTCTTCAGACGGGTCAGTTCTTGCACCGTGCATTGTTGGGTCTGCTCGGGATCCCGCTTCAGCTGCTCGATCCTTTGAAGATGCTCGTTTTTCTCCTCGTCCAATTCCGCAAACTTGCCGAGCCAAAGATTGCGCTCGAACTCCGACTCGGCCAATTCGCGCCGATTGGCTTCGGTGACCGCCCTGTTTTCGAGGAGTGATCAAAACGAGATGAGTGATCAATTTTTTTTTTTTTTTTTGGAATCAACCTCAAGCTTTCACTTACGCTAGATCCTTGGCTTCCTCCTTCAAAGCCTTCAATAGATTCTGATCACAACTCTCGATCTCTGCAAGCTTTTGCTTTCGTCGTCGGATCTCCTCGATGAGACTCTGCTTGCGCTCCCGCAAAGATTCGGTCGCGGGCTTGACAATCGAATCCATCTTTCTCATCATCTCCAAATCCTAAAAAACCCATCACAAGGAAAAAAAAAAAAAAAAAAAAAAAAAAAAAAATAGTCTATATTTGCTTCAAGTGAAGCCGGAATGTGAATGCATACATGAGACAATTTGGCGGTCCGATCATGAAGATGAGCCTGGTAAGTTTTCCACATCTCGATATCGAAGAGATGGCAGTCTTTCTTAGCGCTCATCTCGACCCAATTCTTCTTGAGTCTGAGTTGGTTCATGATTTGCTCGAGATCCTCGACATGTTTCTGGGAAGAGTGAGGATGACTCTGGCCGATCTGAGCCTGTTTCTGTCGGAGGTTGACCCAATCCTTGAGGACCTTGTATTGCTGCGCGTTCCGAGAGATCTCATTCTCGTGTTCTTTGGTTGTGAAATGTAGAAGCTCGGTCTTCTGTCTCAAGTTACTAGATGACTATGCGAGAGAGATGAATGATCAGTTGTTGTCAAGTGTGACAGAAAGATATGTACTCACACTCTCCAGTAGACGTAGCCGAGGAATCTTGACCATGCCAGCGAAGATCTGTTGGGCAAAGCTAGAGACCCTGTGTTGGCTTTCGGGTTGTTCTTGTTGGTCGTAGTTCCTGACTCTAGGTTGAGAGAGGCTGATGAATCGAATCTCAGCCTGTTCGAAGAACTCGTTCAAGCTGATCGATATCGGTGATGGTGGCACAGGTTGAGTCTGTGGCGGAGGCATCGAAGAGCTGTGGCTGATCCGAGCGCCGGGCGGGTGCAAGTTATCCTGTGGATGACTCGCGTCGGATGACCGATGGAGATCCGAATCAGGTCCTCTGATAGAGGCCGAGGCAGGATCGGCCGACTTTGATCGGAAAAGCTCGGCGGTACTGTTTGTGGAATCGTGCTGGTCCGACTGATTGGATGCGCCGGTTGAATGGGTTGAGCGGCGCGGGGATGCAAACGATAGTCGGAGCTTTTTGGGAGAGCCCGAGAGAGAGCCGGAAAGTCGGCGGGATGGAGATGCTGAGTTGAGTGGCTGATTGCCTCGGATCGAAGATAACCTGGGGTTTGCCGGCTCAAGTGAGACCCTGGGAAAGCTTCCAGCTCTTGAAATCGGTTCAGAAGAGGATGAAGGCAGAGTAGATGGTCCGGATTTCGAAGGGCCAGGTGGAAATAATGCAGGCTTTGGCGCAGAGGTCTCATCAAAACTCATGTTGATCAGGTCTTCATGTTCTTGAATGTTTTTCAAGCCGGGTGTAGATAAAGAGGGTCGGTTGGCTGGCGGTCGGAAAGATGCACGACTGGAAGCAGGTTCATGGAAGTCGATCAATGCCGAATCCGGCTCGTCTAGATCAGAGCTGTCTTGGGTCTGTAAGAACTCCGAGACCCTGCTCCGTACTTTCTTTGTCACCGGTTCTGAATCTTCCGAGTACAGCGACGGCCCTTGGTTTTCTCCCTCGCGCGCATTATCCAATTCGCGTGAGAGATCATCCCAGTTCGAATATGACTGTGTCGTTTGACTGGGTTTGTTGGTTTTTTGGGCATGAGAAGCTCGGTCCTCATCTGTTTCGGGGTTAGTTTCCGGCTCGTTTGGCTGTGTCTGGTATGTTTGGAAGAGAATAGGTAAGCCAAGGAATTTACAAGGGTAGAGACAGATGGACTCACCTGCCGAGTTTTATTAAGGTTCTCAGGTACCTCATCTTCGCTGGGCGCCTCGTCTTCTTGCGAAGAACCCAGGAAGTTTGTGAGTCGGCTGGTCTTGGCAGCTTTAGCTTTTTCAGAGTGCTTGCCGGGATGAGTTTTTTCAGGCTCGGGGAGATTGGTGTTCGAGGATTGAAGTGTCGATTGAGAGGGGGGTTTTGCGGTTGAAGTAGATGTTGGGATATTCTCAGTGTCATCCACAGGGTCCCCACGTAAGTATTCTGGTAACACGACTGATAGACGACTGGTTTTCCAAGCCCGGCGTTCCCGTTCACTGAGAGGAGGTTGATGATTGATGACAGGAATTGATCCAGCAGTCACAGCTGGCCGACTAGCTGAAGTAATGTCATCCAGATTTTCAGTTTCATCGAGGCGATTGGCACGTAAGTATTCGGGCAGGGCAACGGATAGCCGACTGCTTTTGATAGCTCCGCGCTGTTGAGTGCTAGTCGATGAGGATTGGAGACGAGGGATACCGCTCTGGGTGGGTGGTTTGGGTTGTTGAGTGGGGCCTGATGAGTTTTGTTGTTGAGGATGTACAGTGTTGGTGGGAACAGTCTGAAAGGGTGTTGTGATGTCCATATCTTGGCTGCGTTCGTGATCTTCTTGACTACTAGAGAGATTAAGCTGACCCTGCGCAGTTTTTGATGAGCTAGGTTGTGAGTCGACGAGATTTGCTTGATTGGCGCTGTTTGATTGAGGGTCGCTAGGATTTCGATTGGTACCATCTGACCTGTTGGTTTTAGTTCCCTGAGTCTCATCTTCGCCTTCCTCATCATCATCATTGTCGTCGTCGTCGTCGTCGTGGTTGCCATAGCCGGGGATAGCCATGGAGAGTCGACTAGCTTTGGATGGCTTGAATGGGTCTTTGGATGGAGGTTGATCGACTGCAGTCGAATTTGGCTCAGGCTGCCTGGCCTTGGAGTGTTCCGTAGGGCCGAGTTGATTGTTGGGGGTAGTAGTACTGTCGATGCTCATATCAGCAGTGCTATCGTCCTCAGAAGAGTTGGTTTCGCCGGTGGATGAGGTGGGTTGTCCTGGGGGCTCGTTTGGAGGGGCAGATGCGTTAGAGGATGCTATGCTGGAGTCAGGGTCCACGAGAGGACTACCAAAAGTTCTAATATTGTTTTTGTTTTTTTGTGATGATCAGTTTGAGTTGATCTCTCTTTTGAGAGGACTGTAGATGAGCTTACCTGACATGCGCTTTTGCTGCAAAGCTGACGCGCCTGAGTAGAGTGGTAGTATTTGAGCCTAGACTGCTCCTGTGCCAGCCGTGGTCATCAGAGAGATCCATGTCGGAGCTGTTATCGGCTGGATTGGCGTCATCTTTTGGGTTTTGGTTCTCAGTATCTTGACTGGCTTGGATCGGCTGGGAGAGTGGGTTGTTGGAGAACTGATCGGTGAGTTGGGAGGATGTGAGCTGGTTGGCGGTTGAGGTTAGGAAGCTTGGCAAGGGTTGGGTATGGTTGTTGAGGGTGAGTGTATTATCGCTCGTTGTTCGTTCTAGTCCAGGGCCAGAGAGAGTACTAGGACGCGATTTGAGGATAGATTTCCCAGGTACCTGTGGATAGATACAAGACGAGGATGAGTGTGTATGCTAGGAGGGAGGGAGGGAGGGAGGGGGAGATGAGAGGCTGACGAGGCTTCGACGGGCTCTCTTGCGTGGGGTGAGGTCGAAGTCGATGTTGAGTGAGTCTTGGTCTCTGTTGTTGTCGCGTAGGATTTTCTGTTCGAGTGCGTTTCCGCCGAGACTCTTGCTTCGTTTCTTGAGGGTGGGTTTGAGTGCTGATGATTTTGAGGATGAGGTGCTGGTGCTTGGGTTGTTGTTGGTGAGTGTGCTGGTTGAGATGGACTGCCTGGATTTCTTGCGAGGCTGAGTGGTGGAGGCCATGGTGGTGGTGGTGTTGGGTGTTGTAGGAGGATGATATGTGTGGGCTTTGGCGGTTGAGGGTTGGATGAAAGGGAGTTGGTGAGGTTCGGCCTGCTGACATAAACTGATGAGATTGGCTTATGTACTATAAAAGCAGGGCGGTTGGGATGGTTGTATGCAGCCTTGTAAAGAAAGCCAAAGCCAACCAACACTCAAAAACAGAATATTTAATCTTCTGTCAAGGTCTGAGCCCAGAGTGAAGAGGGCTACCCACTCAAGTCTCCCAACGAAACGCGATCGAACAGAGCGAAGGGTGAGCTCAACTTCAACCAACCAAAACACTTCAAAACCAGACGAACAACGCCAGCCGAAGATGGCAGCCATCACTCTGCGTCTCATCGGGGCGATCTACCTCTTCAGACTACTCAACGCGCTGCTCTGTCGGACGTACTTCCAGCCAGACGAGTACTACCAATCCTTAGAGATCGCCCATCGGCTCGTCTTCGGCTACGGATACCAGAGCTGGGAATGGCGTCCACTCCCCGACGGCTCCACCGGCGGCATCAGGAGCCCACTCCACCCCTTCCTCTTCGTCCCCCTCTACTGGCTCCTCCGCATCCTCCGTCTCGACCACACCCGGCTCATCGTATGTCTTTCTCTCTCTTGCTTCCATCCTCGCCAGTCGATCGTCACTGAAAACCTACCTATCCACTCAGATCATCCTGCCCAAAGTCCTCCAAGCCGGCATCGCAACAGTCACCGATCTGGCCACCTACTCCCTGGCCAGCGTCCTCTTGACGCCATCCTATGCGGCTGCTGCGGTTAGTCAGCCCCGATCTCCCGTCGCGGGGGTCTGAAGAAAGAAAAGCTGATTGAGATCTGGCTTGTCTTCCTGACTGACTAGACAGCTGGCATGCTCCCTCACCTCGCTCTTCAACGCCTATGCGGGCATCAGGACGTTCTCCAACTCCCTCGAAACCGCACTCACTGCCTCCGCCCTCGCTTATTGGCCCTGGAACCCGGCTCAGATCTCCTCCTCATGGGCCAATCTCTCCTTCTCCATCCTCCTCATCGCCCTCTCCGTCATCATCAGACCTTCCTCGATCCTCTTCTGGTCTTTACTAGGCTACACTCTCCTCCAAAAATCTAATGGCGAAACTCGAATGGACGTGATGGCTATAGTGGCAGTGATGGGGTATGTAGTAGTCTTCATTCTCTTCTCCTGTTCATCAACTGACTGGTTGACTTTTTCTCAACTTGTAGGGTCATCTCCGCTCTGGCCTGTTTCTTGATAGATTCGAGCTTTTATGGTGTAGCCACCTTCACCCCACTCAACTTCGTCCGACAGAACCTTCTCAACGACATCTCTAGCTTCTATGGGGTCAACCGCTTGCACTTCTACTTCACACAAGCGTTCACCTTTGTCAATTTCTCCATGTTCCCGACGGTGATCCTAGGGATGAATATGCTGGCGACACCCCAAAACGATCACGAGAGTCGCGGACAGCTCGACAGGCTGCGTTCGGCGCGTGTCGCGGTGTTGGGGACGATGTTGGGACTCTCAGTGCTCAGGCACAAGGAGTTCCGCTTTATCGAGCCGCTCCTACCGCTCTTCAACTGCTTTGCGGCCCGGGCGATGGTGAACAATTACATCAAGGACCGGCTCGCCCGGCCGGCCACCTCCCCGGCCGACGTCAGCCCACTCGAGCGCATCCTCTCCGCCCGGCCACTCGGCTTCATCCTCAGATCCTCCATCTCTCTCCTCGCCGCCGTCTATCTCCTCGGCTTCCATTACAGAGCCCAAGTTTCGGTGATCGACTATCTCCGCGAGGTGCCCGACCTCCAGCTGAAGAGCGTCGGCTTCTTGACACCCTGTCACTCCACCCCTTGGCAGAGCCATCTTCATAAACCGCATCTAGCTCCCAATGGGACTCAGGAACGTCTTTGGATGCTCAACTGTGAACCGCCGCTGGTCTCCTTCCAGTATGTCGCCCTTTTTATTTCTTGGTTTTAAAAGTGAATTTCATGGCACACTTACCATTCGGATTATTATACAAAAAAAAAACAGAAACAGCTCTTTATCAGAAGCGGATAGCACGGCCAACACCACAACCTATCAGAACGCAACCGAGAGTGATGAGGATTCAGAGCGAAAGAGGGAGACGATAGCGACGACGAAGCAGATGAACGAGACGAGAGAGTACGAGGACGAAGCATCAGAGTTTTACGGAGACCCGACAGGGTTCCTGAGGGCCCGGTTCCCGGGGACGGTCGACCGTGGGTACCCGGCGACGGACAAGAGCCTGCAGAGCTACCAATGGCCGTCCCATCTCGTCCTCTTCGAGGCCCTCTGGAACCACACCTCCGTCCGCGAACTCCTCCAGACCCTCGGATACCAAGTCGTCTGGAACCAGACTAATGGCTGGTGGCATGACGATCCTCAACGGCGCGCTGGATCGGTCATCGTCTTGCGTTCCGTCTGATGGTCGCCCCGGCGTCAGGCCCTTCCTCATAGACAATCACAACCTCCCCCCCCCCCCCCCCCCAAAAAAAAAATGCAGATATTATCTTGCTCTTTCCGGCCTCTACTCGTCGCATTCCAATTCTCCTATGTCCCATCATCGCACATCCTTCAACCTGTTTCTCGGTCTAGTTTTTTGTCATTTTCGATCAGTTTGAAGTTTCTTATTTTTGTTCTTTATTGTTGCTTTGATGATGAATGATGGTCCGAGATTGGAGATACAAGACTAGAGAGCCTGTGGATTGAACGTTCCCGATCGATCATCCACACCCCACAATTTGCTCAGACCTCTGATCCAGAGCATTGTTTCCATCCTACGACGTGTGTCTTTCTAGTTAATCACAGTGCTTAATTATCCCAGAATCTTTACCTCAACCTCAAGCATGGCTTGTTGTCAGGAAGGTGTCAGTTGGGCTAAAACTCACTTGTGAGGTGGTTGGGCCTTACGAGTGGCTATCCCATCACTTCCATCAGGTGGGTTGCCATCAACTCCTCTGAGGGGTGGAAAGTTAAATGTATTAATTAGACGTGGTTGTCTCTATGCAGGGCAAACACCTTGATCAAGCTTTAACAGTCCCGTCGCTTGCTGGCAGACAAGGCCGTGGACGGCGGGCTCCCTCTTTTTCTGAGTGCTCAAATCAAAGTTCAAACCCTGCCGGGCTGCCGTTACAGAGGGCTTTTGATCGTTTAGCTAAGCCCGGCAGCTGTACTCATTTGTTCTCAGGATGCGAGACCAGTCCACTTGACTTGTGTTTCTTTTTTTAACGGATTCCGGCAAGAGGCCTTCGTTCGGCCACTGCATATCAGATCTCTGGGTCTCGATGTTCTTTGGGGCTGTTCTGTTTTTTTGGACTGTTTCGATGCGCTTTGAAATACTTGAAGAATGCCGCTGACACTAGTGAAGGTCTGGGCTTTGTCTTCCTTCAGACAGACCCCATATCCATCACCCATTTTCCCATTGTTCTCCTGCGCAAAATAATCACATCAACCGGCTCAACTGCGTCATCCCATCTCTCACACATGAAAGGAGCTTATAGAAATTTCTTCATAAAAATCGATTTCCAACATCATCACACATAGTTTTTTAAGACGAGGTGAACATAGTTTCAAAGCAAGAGTCGAGTTGGTGAGGGTTTCTTCAGACTCCGCAGGATTCGTCCAGCTGGATTGTATTGCTTCCGATGTTTCGGAGATTGTAACTCTTCATATTTTCTGCCTTGCCTCGGGGGAATAATTGGTGGGTAGATCGTCGGGATTTTCGCCGCGCCAGCTAAAATATAAGTATTGGAAAGAAAATCGATGGGGTAAAGAGTATGTACTCTATCAGTTAAATGTTTTCCGTCTTTTCGGAATGAGTCAAGTTGAATATTTAGACTAGGAAGCTTATTACCTCGTATGTCGTTGAGAGAAGATAAGAGCTATCAAGAATCGAAAATCGAGGAAGAGCCAACGTTTGAAAGAACTTGAAAAAGGAAAAGAGGTTGAAACAAATCGAAATTTTTTTGGGGTTTTTTTTCGTATCTTTTATATATAGTGGAGGATTCTTGTTGAGCATAGAAAGTGTATCTTGGGATGGATGGTTCCTATGTAATGTGCAAGATAAAGAAACAACTATTCTACTACTAGGAACAAGTCATATAGCCCACATTTCTTCCATAAGCATCGAAACAACAGGAACATATTTTTTCGGGATCAGTACCAGGGCCAGAACACTGTTTTCTTGTGGTTTTTTCCGGACACTTTAAGCTTGAAAGATCATCTGGATTATTTATAGACTGGACTGAAAGATCGACATAAGAAAGTACCATAATAACTAGTCCTAGGATCAAACGCATTTCTGTAATAATGATAATGATAATAATAATCTGTTGTTTAGAATTTTACGAAGAGGGCTATCCGGAGAGATATGTAGACGGGCTTATGTTCTGATTTCTTTTGGGGGTTTGAAAGAGGATTGTTTGGCTGAAGGGTTGGATGGATGCAAAAGTCCGGATGGATGAGATGCTTTTATGTAGATGGCCGATGCCCAGCACTCAAACAGGCTGAGCTTGATATAATCGTCGGCCGAACTCCGATGCGATGTCGGATGGCGTAGGTGGCACCATCAAAACATGTGCGGTTGACAAGGCTGAAATCTGCACCTATGTCGTGATTGAATCGATCATCAGTGCGGATTCCGGCACACAGGCGTGGCACTGGGCAGGGCGTGGCCCGGACTCGGAGGGACCTACGATCACGAGGATTACATCCTTAGGCGAAAGGGGATGTGCTATGGACTCTCAACACATTTCTTGTCAAGCAAAAAAGGGCCTTCTTTTGGAAACGGGGCATAACTGTCACGTCAGGTATCTCGAGCATCATACACTCTGATAATCCTGAAAATAATTCTGATGGAATTTCTCAAAATGCGCAACTGATGCTGTTTCCTAAAGTAAATAAGATAACAAAAACTCTGAGAAAAATCCCGGTTGATTTATGAGATAAGATGTAAAAATGGAACGCGTAAAAGAGTTAAATTGGTCGAGTGGGGATCAAGACGATTCGGAGGCGGTGTAAACGATCCGTTCTTCTGAGAGCACTTTTCGACTCAAGTTATTGAGCGTCAGATTGGTGGATGGGGGTGGGATGGAGGATGAAAAAAGTCTATAAATAAACAAACAGATTTGGTCAAAAAATGTGTGTGATTTCTGGACGAAGAGATCAAATGTCGGCAGATATTGAGCTGATTGGATGGCGGGAGAGAAAGACTTACTGGCCGGGATTGAAGGTTATATTGCAATTCTTGTCTGGATAGCTATTGATGCATCAGAAAGAAGAAGAAAAAAAATAGTTAAGTAATTACTATCCATATATATACCATTCAGAGTTCTTTTCTTAATGATCTCGAGCTAAGGTTGATTGAATTTAGACCCGGTTATAATATATGTATCTTACCTCGTTCGATAGTTATTTTTGTTGTTAGATGTTTGAATACGTGTTAGGATTCCTAGTTCGACGACTCATCCACAAATCGGCCTGCGTACGAACATTCCACGTTCACTACGACAGCAAACACATGTTTGACCCCTGTAACCAGCGCAGCTCACCGGAGCACTGTTATCTGGACACTGTCTGGCTGCCGACTGATGATGGGTCCCAAAAAGGATCATAATAACTAGGGCTAGGTTGTAATGCATGGTTTTTGTTTTTGTGGCGAGAAAGCGCTGGCTAGAAATGGCTACGGGAGTCGAGTTTATAAGTTGTGACTATACGTGACTATACGGATTGTTTGGTTTGGTGGAGATAATTTGGGATTGGATTCAAGAGGATTGTGTGGTTTGGACGAGCTTCAGATGAGATGCTTAAATAGCTGATGGAAAGCACTCAAAACATCAGGAATGTCTGTACCTGTAAAAATAAACTAGATAGAGAGACATGTGTTAGGCCTAGGTCATTTGCATGGGGCTGTCCGATGGCGGATGTGGCACCCTCAGAACATGTGCAGCCTAGGTTGTGTGCGGGGCCCGGGCTGCCCCTTGAGGTCTTTCGTCGAGTGGCTTTGAAGAGCTTGGCTTCACCAGCTTCCAAGTCATGAGCTTGACCACCAACCTGATACAAGCACCGCTGCCTGCTGGCCGACATGGCCGCGAACGGCGACCTCCCTCTTCCTGAGGCTGTGGGGCTCCCGTCAAGAGGCTTTGGGCTGAAACTCGGCTCTACTAACAGTTCTCAGGATTCCAGACGAGTTCAACTTGCGAGGTTTTTTTAGTAGACCTCATCACCATAAAGTTATAACTAACTTGATCAAGAGAAAATGGTTTCTCGAAAAGTGGACAAAACAGTCACGTCAGATGTCTCAAGCTCTATACAATCTGATATGCCTAAAATAACTCTGATGAAATTTCAACGATAACTGATGGATTTTCTGAAATAACTCTAGGGATGCTTCTGCAAGACACTAGCGATATTTCAAACAGAACTCTAAAAGATCAAGGTTGATTTTAGAGGTTGATTTTAGTGATAAGGAAAAAAGAAAGACGCGGCAAAGAACAGGAGGTTGGTCGTGTCGGGATCGAGAGGATTTGACGAGGTGAAATGCTGTATCTTCTACGAGCACTCTTCGAGTCGTTGGGCGATCGATTCAGGATGATGGTTGAATTTAGCCTGAAGTCTACAGATAAATAAACATCCAGGAAAGATTTGGTTCAAAAAACGTGCGAGGTTTCATGACGACTCACGTGGAAATCTGATTTGAGAGCATCAGAAAGACTTACTGGACACGGAAGGGCTGGACCATTGCAATTCTCGCCTCGTTAGCTAAATATGAATTGAAAAGAAGAAGAAATACTTCAGCATCATTCGCGCGCGGATTGATTTTATTTTTGTCACATGTGGTTGGAGAGATTGACTAGACCAGGTGGCTTACCCTGTCGAAACCGTATGAATTCGAGATGTTGCTGAGAGAACGAGTGGTGCCAAGAACAAAGAGGGGAAATTTGAAAGACGTTGAAAAGGAAAAAATAAGGGAAACTAGTTGATAGATTTTTTTCTTTTTTTCTTTTACAAAAGACGTGTTTTAAGGTGAGTCCTTGCAGGGTGCATGTTTGATTGAGACAATCGAAGTGAAATGGCCAATCAAGATGGTGGACAAATTGGCTTGCCCGGTTGACCCAATAGATCAAGACAGCAAATACACACTTGCTGATTAGGACCCTCACATGTTGACATGAAATGTTGGCTGTCACATGGATTTCGAATCTTTGCCCAAGACTGGGCAGAACAAAGGATCATAATAACTAGTGCTAGGCTATAATGCATTTTGTTAGGAAAGCTAGAGGGCAGTTGCAGTTTTCTGAGCGGGTTGACTGGTGTGGCAAAACAAATGAAGTTTGGAGGGGATTGCTTGGCTGGGACTGTTTGGTCGTATGGGATGCTTTAAATAGCTGATGCAAAGCACAGCAAAGCACCCGAACCAACAATAACTTGACCTTGATATGTATGAAAAAGAGGGTTCAAGGCCTCTGGTGATTGGTATGTATAACCCAGTTCCAATGCAATGTTGGATGGCGTGTGTGGTGTGCAGTCAAGGCTGTAGTCTGCATGTATCCAGTGAAGGATGAATAGATACATTATCAGCCATATGGAATAGGGGCTGATGTAAAGCTTATTGTAATACTCTAGAACCCAGCGCCCAAGCTGACAGATATCCTTGATGTCAATGACCACTCCTACTGCGTTCCTGAGTACATAGATGATAGAGACGCTCCGCCTGGGCGGAAGGATGACATGCTGAGGCCTCAGGTCAGACCCTTCCAATCCGTCAAGAGGCTTTGATCTTATGCTCGGCTCCACAAGCTTTCAGGATTCGAGACAAGTCCACTTGACTTGATGTGTTGTTTTGTTTTTCAGGAGACCTCCTCACCATAAAAATTTTAGCAAAGAAAAGGAAATGGGCTTCTTTGGCAGGGGGCATGAAAGTCACGTCCGGTCGATCAGATGTCTCAAGCATGATACAATCTGATATTTCTGAAATCACTCTGCTGAAATTTCTGAAATGACTGATGATGTTTCTTAAATGACTCTGATGATATTTCTAAAAACAGACTCTGAAACAGCAAGGTTGCTCCTTTGTGATGAGACAAAACAAAAAGACACGTAAAAAATGGGCTATGTCGGAATCGAGATGATTTTGCGGCGTGGATCGTCTTTTTCTACCTAAGAGGCTAGCACTCTTCAAATTCCTGGGAAGTCGTTGAGCGACGGATTGGTGGATGATGGTTCGGTTAAGAAAATGGGTGAGATTTCCTGACAACCAAATCAACATCAAATCTTGACCTCATTTAATGGCAGGAGAAGACTTACTGGACACCGAACAGGGGTGGACCATTTCGATTCTCGCCTCGATAGCTATTCATGAATTTGAAAGAAGAAAAACAAGTTCAGTAAGGTCGGTGGTTGCTCATGCAGATCGTTTCTTCTCTACCTTGAAATAAAGAGACTGATTGAGCCTACCTCGTCAAGACCGTGTAAAAACACTATGTTATTTTGAGAACAGGAAGTGCATATCAAGAATAAGGAAGGGTCGAAATTAATTGGAAAGAAATTCAAAAAGGAGAAGAGTGTGAGACGAGTCGATAGATTTTTATTGTATCTTCATTTAAGGAAACGTATATGTTTGTGTGATTTGTGAGACCTTTGTAGGTGTATCTTGAAGCTTTGTGAGTGAGATTGAAAAAATTAGAGTCAAGTGGCGAATCATCAAACTGTGGCCTAAGAACAACGCCTTGTTCCCACAGGTAGTCCAAATCTATCAAAGCAGCAAACACACGGTTCATGGCCAGGAGTCGAACAATCTTTTTTAGTAGTGCCCACGGGACACGCCGATCCAGCCCAAGACTGGGTAGCAAATAGGATCACAAGAACTAGCGCTAGGTTATGATGCATTTTTGTAAGAAAGTGCTGGCTAGAGTAGAGTTTAGTTATCTGCACGGATTGATTGGTTTGATGAAACAAAATTAAAAATCGGGGTTGGAAGAGAATTGTCTGGCTGGAGATTTTTGGACGAAGTTCAGATGAGATGCTGAATTGGCATGAAGCACCGATGCGAAGCACTCAAACAGATTCAAAGACCGTTGTTGAGAGAAGAAGATATGTACTTATGTATGTAGAAGACACTCCGGCCGAGCTCAATCCGATGTCGGATGGCGTATGTGCTCGTTTGTGGCACCATCAAAACATGTGCAGTTGATAAGGCTGTAGTCTGCATCTAATGGATGAATCCATCATCAGTAGGGGGTTTCAAAATTCCCCCAGGACCTCGTGCAGGTCCCAAAACCCAGGAAAAAAAAGCCACCTGGGAGACGACCTGTCAACCTGGGCTCCTGCCTACACCACCAGAGCACTTTAAGCTCCTCCGGGTTAGCACCCCAACGTCGGATGTTTACCCGCGGGCTGCCGTGTATTCGTCAGTTGACCCACAGTTGGGTTGACCACCCCGTCTGACCGTCGTAGGTAACATCGTCAGTATGACCCCACGGCCAGCCCGCCGGGGATTCTGCCGTCGGAGATGACCCAATGGTCAGTCTGCCAGTAATAATGCAGGCGGGGTTGACCCAGCGGTCAGACCGCTGTAGACCATGCAGTCGAGGCCGACCGGACAGTCATACCGACTGAACGCACTCAGTCGGTACTGACCCAACAGTCAGGCCGCTGCCATTGATGCTGTCGGGGTTGACACTACTGACATCCCGACTCAAGGGTTGCTCCACCCACTCTTTGACAGTCAGCCGACCGTCAGTCGACGGAGGCCCAACCGCTCAAGAGCTGACCAGTGGGCTGCACAACCGGAGCACCTGCAGCTCCAGTCAGCCGCTGGAGACCTGGTTTGACGGCCCGGGTAGACAAACCTGACAGCTGTCCAGCTAAGGCCATCAGTTCCTTTCAGGATGTGGTTGGTCAGGATGACCGGTGTGCCATCGCCGCGCTGACGTCAGCGCGACCATTTGCAAGTTAATTTTCATCTCTATCAGGGTTAATCTTTTCAAGCAAAACCTCGAGAAAAGTTGCTCTGGAAAAAAAAATAAAATTAAAAAAAATAAAAAGACTTAGAGAAAAAAAAATTGCCAAAAAGCGGTGACGGGGTATTATCACTTGAAGATCATTGCAGACATACAATCTGTTGAAGCCGAGTGGTGAGAAGACCCTGTAGTTGTTCCCAACTCCGGCTGAGCTCCTCGGTTCGAGTCTCCTGAGAAACATTCTTTTTGATGGATGAATTTTAGTCAGGACTTCCAGTTCAGTCCGGACTCAATTTTTTTTTTGGCTGAGCTCTCACGGCATATGTCAACCTTGGTGCAGCTACATAATCTGCATAGAAGGTCAAGACCGATGACAGCCCAGCAGGCGGCGTGACCGCAAACACTGGTCCTCACTGGTTGGACCGCCCGCAGGACCCTGAATCCATAATCTCAGGGCGTCTCAGACCCCTGAGACACTTGTAAATATGCAGGCGGGTTGACCGATCCCGACGCACTGCCCGCCCGGCAGACATGGGTCGGTTCCCTGACCACCCCGACTCCCTGGCCGCAAAGCTGCCTAACTGACGTCGGCAGACAGGAAGGTTTGGCCGGGTCGGGGGAGGTCGGTTTGCCCGTCAGAACCCTCGACGGTTTGGCGTCGAGGTGCTCCGGTGGTGTAGGAAGACCCTCCAGGACGGTCACTCCAGGAGCAGGAGTCTAGCTGTACAAGTCCCAAAACAACCAACCCGTCGGAAAACCATTGCCTACAGATCACCCCGGGGGTTTTTACCCCTTCCCCTACAAGCCCCCCCATGCACCCACATTCCCACCTGACATCCCTTCCGACCAACTGATATCGTGGAGCTACTCCATTTCGCTCAACCCACATCAAACTCCCCAGCCGAACTCACCACTGCAGCAATGCCACCCAAGAAGACCAAAGCTCCACCCTCTACACCATGTCCATCAGAAATTTGAATTGGAGGCATTCCAAGAGATAGTTAGTGGTTAGTGGTTTCAAGAGATAGTTAGTGGTTAGTGGTTTGCGGAGTTGGTGTTGGATATGCCCGGTGGCTCGCAACTGTCGGTGATTGGTTGCTTGTGACTGGCAACAAACCCGTTGGAATAAAACTTTGTACATGGCTGGTCTGTGGTTCCAAAGAGGAGAAGGGGGGTCCCCTTTGAGACCTTTCATGCCGTCGGGACCCCGTTTGGCGGGAGGTAAAACTCGTACATAGGATGAATCTTTTCCTGGGGAGGTACTCCTGGTCATAACTCCTGGAGTTCGCTGATTGCGGGGCTTCAAAGGTGAACCCCCCAGGAATTCCTTTTTAGCGGTGTTTTTTTTTCCTGGGATTTGGACCTGCGCGAGGTCCTGGGGGAATTTTGAAACCCCCTAGTGTGGATTCCGATAGGTGTGGGCCGGAGGAGACCAATTTGTAGGGGCTGCCCTCCCCTAACCTCAAGACGCCCCTCCAAGCAAAACTGGCTTCATTGAGTTAGTGTGCACCCAGATGTTTTAGCCAGGAAATAAATTCAGCACATGTCCAAGACTTTGTTTTCCGTTTGAACAGACAACTAACATTTTTAGAGTGACGCGTGATATGTAGCATGAATGGTTGCGATAATTCTAAGGCCGATGATGTGTGCACTCCAAACACATTTCCTCACACCCAAAGGATTTCCAGCACGATGAAGACAACTATAACATTGCACGTTAGGATCAGAACCAGGATACAAGTTTGGAGATGTGTCCAAGCGACAGGTTATAGCCCAAGGTCGAGCAGAGCAAAGTAACATAATGACTAGTGCTAAGGTGTATCACATTTCTGTTTAGGGTGCTTGGCAATGGGATGATCTTGCCCAGAGAGTCGTTTGAACGGATAGACTCGGTCTGCTTCCTCGGTTTCCTCGGTTGTTTGCTTTGGGCGCCTGTTGTCTCTGCCAAGAGAGTGAGATGACAGAAGAATAAAGAACCCAAATAATTAGCATTCCCGGCAAAAAAAAAAAGGAAAATCATGAGATTGAGTGAAAGACTGACTAGAAAAATGACACTCACGGGCAGACTGACTAGAAAAACAAGTCCAATCGCTACTCGCGGAGATGAAATGAAAGTGGAAAAGACGGAAGGCTTCGTAAGGCAAAGAATGGTTAAGAGTTAGTTCAGCGAGCTTATGAACATTAATATAAGGAAACGGTAGCCCAAAAATATTACCGATTGGTCGGACCATTGGTGATCAGTCAAACCATTGTCGATTGCAAAAAAAAAAGAACCAGAGTTGAAGAGAAACCAAGAGCGAAAAGAGGATAGAAAACGAAGTGATGAAGAAGGTCTACTACAAGGGAGGAGGTCCGTTACAGTAAAACTCTACCCTAGGTTGTTTAGTATCATTGTCGATACAGCAAGGACAGTCTGTCTCATGCCCATAAGGACAGTTTCCAAAAGTGGAGTTGGAGGGACAGTCCGCTTGACTGCGTCTAGCCCACGCAGTGGAAAGAAACATGATGGTTAACACTAAGATATAACGCATTTTGAGGCCGGAATCTGATGTGAAGGGTTGTCTGGACGGTTTCGCTATACATAAATATCTACTAGTGTCTAGGGGCGGCTTCGCCGCCATTGCTCCATGCATCAGCTACCAGATAAACAATTTAATGACAATCTATTCTTCCATTTCAACCTCATCTATGTACATTCAATGCTTCGGGACTCATTTTCTGTGGCACACTCCTGGTGACAAGCCGCAGCTTGCCTTTGAAAAAGGCAATTGTACGATAGATGCAATTAAATAAAGTGAATATTGTAAGAACAAAGGAAGCCTAGAGTCATGCCCAACAAGAATAAGTTTAAGCATCAAACAAAAAGGAAGAATGGGAGGAGCAGGTAAATCACATTAAGACATAAGGCAGTAGTCTAATAAAAGATCAACTGATAAGGTAACATTTTAGTATTAGGCATTCAACTCTGGTACACGAGCACTGCATCTCTTTTTAGGCTGTGTATTGGTGTCACTGGCTTTTCCTTTCCCTTTTGCAGTTTCATTTAAACTTTGAACCCTCAAAGACTCCGAACCCTCGGCCCCGGGTCCCAATCGCTGGGTCCCAATCGCTGTGATTAACATGAATTACTAAGTCTAATTTTTCCAGTTGGTGCCTCGACCATGTCCTCTTTATTCTCCTGGATTATATCAATGACCCATCCTACACCTGAATTAAAAGTTTTATCGGTGTGGTCTTTTTGGTGGGCTACAGAACAAACTTTGGTCACAAGCTCCAGGTAGTAATTAAATGGAGGTGGTGCCGGGGTGTTTAAAAGGAGTATCTTTCCAGACAACGCATAGATAAATTCAGGCAAAAGAAGATGCTCTGCAGAAGCGCCAGTACTAAGCAAAATTCTATAATCGACAGGTTCCTCGCTAGTAGGAGTCACATAGCTGGGCGGGGATACAGTGCCGTATATTTGTCCAGGTTTCATGATCGCAACAGACTGTTGAACGTTCATTAGATAATTGGGTAGATAATGTACATAAATTCAAAGGCAATCAAAAACCTGGTCAAGGGGCCGAAAATTGCTTCGGCAGGAGAGAGAGCGGTTTTGGATTTTATCTTTGTCCAAGATTTTAGCGAGGAAATTAGGAGTAGACTGAGTCAAAGAATAGCAAGTATTGAATGCCCAAGGAGATGAATATGAATGACAGAGCGTTCCTAAGTAAATCACAAGAGCTCGTCGGAGTCGTCCTAAGTCCCGGAGTAAAAGAGAAAACAGGGGCCGGGATAGACGGTCGAAAAGTACATGCGATGGATGAGAATATAAAAGTATAACTACCTTATACATGTAAAGATTAACCAAATTAAAAAGTTAAACTATTAAGCCACAAACCCGTCTGCTTTGCACTTTAGCCAGGTATTGCAATGTGCAATATTGTAAGAGACATCAAGTCCTTACTCCACCTGAGCGCGTTGGGGCAAACTTCATCCTGACCCAAGACTTCTGCTGGCCTTTATATGTTCCCCCCTTTGCTGAATGTCTATTGTTTATCAATCCTGAGTGTCTTCTCTGTATTGCTTTTTGCGGCTTTCGCTGATCTTACCTTCCATTTCCAAAGCGATACGATCTCGCCATTTAGTTTATCGGGCATTCATCCGCATCTTAACCTTATCGCTTTCCTTTTTCAGATTTTGTATCTTTCCCCAATCCGAGTTGTCGAAGTTATCTCAAAAATCTGGCATTTTATTCTACCGGGCATTCATCCGCATTTCAACCTTAGAGCTTTCCTTTTTCAGATTTTCAATTTTTTGCCAATCCGAATTGCTGAATGTCTCTGAAAAGTTGCTTTCCTACACTTTGTCTTATACTTCTAAAACTTGATATTCGACTACTTATGTTTCATAAATTGTCAATTTTCTCTTAAATTTTGGTTTGACTCAAGGAAGCTTGGTTGAATCTGAAGAACAGGTTCCTTTAGCATTATCGGTTGATATCAAAGGAAAAGGAAAAATGGTTGAGTCTGTGTCGTCGGCTAAGAAGAAGCAAAAAGGAGGTGGGGAGATGTAGGGTCTATTGTAGAGAGTCTGTTATATGGATTCGTCCTACATTTAACATCAGTTTTTTATGTTAGATACTGGCACTCAATGAAATAAAAGTTGAATTCATCTTGAAAGCGATGTCTCTTATTTGATTGAAGTTAGCCATAGAGTCGATGTACTGATTCAGGTATAGTTTGCTGAAATGGATGCAGGCGGCGAAGCCGCCCCTAGACTCTAGTTGGAAAGGATTGTTCAAGATTCTACTAAACCGTGGAGATAAAAAGCGGGTCTACGGGGAGGTGATTGGACATAGGCCAAATAGCACTTCAAAAAAGTCTCGCCCGGGTGCTAGGCTCAGAAATAAGATTTGGGACAAGACTCTAAGACAATGGCAAGGATTTGTCCCAGAATCTATGCACCAAGGGATCATAAACATGTCCTAGGCTTAGATCAAGGCAAACTACTCCAGTGGTTGGCTCAGATATGTTTAGTCAGGTTGAAGTATGATGTCCAAAGAATTTATATTTTGAGAATCATATTGCTTCTTGCATGATAGTGTTTAAATGTGTTCAGTAAAAAAAGCCAGCGATGTGATCAAAGATCAAATTCCAGACGGTCCTGTTCAAATGGCGGGAAAGTGCTACAACAAGACAGGGATGGATTCTGGATATAGTCTTTATCAGTCCGACTAAAGACCCTGCATTATGATTGGGGAGTGGTCACTAAGCAAGGGAATCAAAGGTAGGATTTAAATAGTGCAAACAGTGGCGCGTTTAATTGATTAAGGTTTGATTTCGAGCCTTGAGGAGGGGGCAGAAAGAATGATGAAATATTGATATATTATGGAGAATCTGAAGTGATGCTTTACAATCTCAGACAAAGAATCGGGGTCTAACTACCAGGAGCAAGGGAAGTGGACTGACAGGGTTCAAAACAAACATAGAAAAAGTACAAAATATGACAAAGCTGGATTCGGAAATTTGTTTGGTCCAAATCCGAGTCATACATTTACCTTGGCCGGCGCTAGGAAAAGGAATGTGGGACTTAGCTCTGACGTACCCGGCCATGACGGTTCTGGAAAACATATTATGAGGCCTTTCTTCCTAAGCGATCACCTCATCAATGATTCTTATTCCGGTTACTAAAGAGTCATAACAAAGTCTATGCAAAATAAGCCTGGTTGAGCTCGGCGATGGGACCGGATTAGGACTTAGGAGAGAGAAACCAATAGAGGCTATGTTGATGAGTAAGGAGAGGCGAGGCAAAAGGCCCTGTAAGAAAATGCAAAAGGAATACAATTTTGAACCTGTCAAGGCAGAGGCCCGGGATGAGGCCATATATTTTGTTGGGATCAAGCGAGGAACGTAGGATAAGGCAATTGACTGCAAGGAATGCAGTGTTTGATGAGATCATTGTCCGAAATTGTGCATCATGTGGCGGAGCAGAGAATATGAACCTCTGTGGCCTTGTGGGAGCAGTAAGAACAAAAGCACACAAAAATTATTTAAGAAGACAACAGTGATAGACACAGAATTTGGGAATATGGTCGAATGCAGGTTCAGTACAAGAATTAATGTCTTGTCGACATCGCTAGTAGCGATACCTGTTTAGGACTGGGGTTTGAGCTTTATGGTTAAACTTTTTAATCTGCTCTTCTTTGAAAATGGAACCAGCCCTTCAGAGCACCCGCTTTAAATAGCCCATAAAGGACGCAAGGAAATATGTAGCACACCCGGTCAGCACAATCAATCGGTGGCTTGGCATATGGGCAAGAGGCTTGCTTGGGTGATTTATGATAACGATGACATCAAACTTCTGCTCGACCCCGCCAGATCCAGCCTCTTGCTGCCACTACAGTCTTCCATTGAAAGCTCCTATCTTCGTTTCCCTGTGCACGGATTGCAGCATGGTGAGGCACTGCCATGCTTCATGACGCACAAGATAGAGATCCTGATGGAAGGTCTGTGAAAGGATTCCTCTCACGACGGACATGTTTATCTGATATAAGATTATTTAATTTTCGAAAGAAGACATTGGAACAAGTACACTACAATGGTCAAAGCAAACAGAAGAAGACAAGAGAGGAGTGAGTAGACAGGGTGGGTTTGGTTGGTCGATTATGCCCCGAATCCGTAAAGTGTTCGTCCTTGACGTTTGAGCGCGTAGACGACATCCAGAGAAGTGACTGTTTTCCGCTTGGCATGTTCAGTGTAAGTGACCGAGTCCCGGATAACGTTCTCCAAGAAGATCTGTAACAGGATTGGGACTCAAAGTAAGTAGAGAAGTCCAATGTCGTAGAGGGTTGTGCAAGAAAGACTGACCTTGAGAACACCTCGGGTCTCCTCGTATATCAGGCCGGAGATTCGCTTCACACCTCCTCGACGAGCCAGACGACGAATGGCAGGTTTAGTGATACCCTGAATGTTGTCTCTCAGGATCTTACGGTGACCTGAGCAAGGGAGGAAAAAGGCAAACAGACTGTTATTAGAGACTTGATGGTTTCAGCTGGCTTGAGAGTAGAGACTCACGCTTGGCACCGCCCTTTCCGAGACCCTTGCCTCCGCTTTTACCTCGGCCAGACATTGTGTGTTTGTTGATTGGTTGATGGGATTGTTTGAGTTGCGGTGGTGGTGGTGGGTTTGAAGGCTTGTGTGGATGGATGGGGAGGCAGGATGGAGGGCCGCAGAGGTGAGGTTTATATATTCCTGCCGCTACCCCCCTGAAGCTCGACTTGTCTGTTTCGTCTCGGCCTAGCGGGCGTCATGCAAAGCCGCGAAAGCCTCCGGGAGATTGCCAGCCGCGTCGTCAACGGCGAGCGCCGACGAATGCTGGCTTCCTATTGGTCAGAATCTCTTCCCGACCGCGTCTCAACTTTCCCCTCCCCTCATCCCATCCATTAAGAAATATTGCAACACGCGCATCTGCCACTAAGAACATGCTCAGGGCACCCACCCTACACCATGCACGTAGACTCACTCGCAAGGGATGGTCTTAGGGAGCGTATAAATAGTCCCCCATCGCTGCCTCGTCAGCCGTCATCCTCAATCCCCAATTCACATTCACAGTCGAGCCTCCACCACCTTCTACCGAACAAACCATCAACACCAAGACCTCAAGACATTCCCAATGGCCCGTACCAAGCAAACCGCCCGCAAGTCCACCGGTGGCAAGGCCCCCCGGAAACAGTTAGCCGCTAAGGCCGCCCGAAAATCCGCACCCTCTTCTGTCACTGCTGGTGTCAAGAAGCCCCACCGTTACCGGTAAGCGCCATGACTTGAACCATCACTACATCCGTCCAACCGTTCCTTTGTACCCTCCGCTGAGCTTCCTCTCGTGTGTGCCGCGCTTTCATTCAGTCCTGGAACAGTCGCCCTCCGAGAAATTCGTCGGTACCAAAAGTCAACCGAGCTCCTCATCCGCAAGCTCCCGTGCGTGCTTTCTCCCCTCAGCTTCATAATATTGCCATCAATCTCCCCAACTCAACCGTTGTACTCTTCCTCCCCCCTACAGATTCCAACGACTTGTGCGAGAGATCGCTCAGGACTTCAAGACCGACCTACGATTCCAGTCGTCTGCCGTCATGGCCCTTCAAGAGTCCGCCGAGGCTTACCTGGTCGGGTATGTCCCGATTCCCCCCCCCCCCCCCCCCCAACCCGCAGGCAGCCGTACTGAGACTCCCTTCTTTGACCTCTTTCTAGGTTGTTCGAGGACACTAACCTGGCCGCTATCCATGCCAAGCGGGTCACCATCCAACCCAAAGACATCCAACTTGCTCGACGATTGAGAGGCGAACGATCATGATCCAACACGGTCATCTTAATCATCTATCTCTATCCTCCTCTCTGTTTCCCTAAATCCAGTTCTTCGATTATTTGTTTTTTTTTTGTTGCTTGCTTCTGTGCTTGTAAACCGGTGTAAAACTCTGCCTTGTTCTGTTTTCTTGAATAAAAGGCCTGATCTTCAGTGATCTCTACAACACCGCTCCCCCAAAGCGGGATACCCCGCTGAGGCACACCCAACCTACTGAGTTGACAGGCTCGTTCTGCATAAGTCTACCAGCGGAGTTACATCCAAAGCATCAATCTCCATGTGTAGAGAACAGGTCTAGAACAAATCATGGCGCCTGGATCGCTCCTAGGGTCACCCACCCCACTTTTGCCACCATAATAATACCTTGAGTAAAGGACAAATGTCTGGTCGCATCTGTTTTTCGTCTTTTGATCTATCTGGTCAGCCCCAGACCTACATACAATGCTACATCAACCTCATGTTTCTGCTTGAGGCTCGAGTTGTTCTTGTGGTAAAGATGCATACGGTCAATCATCGCTTTCGGAATATGCACAGGAACATAGACTCAAATCGATACGATTGAGAAGTCTAGAAACCAACACACAGTGCATCAAACATGCTCAAGCTGCGAGATCAGCTTGGAATCCAAGCACAAGAGAATCACATTGTACTCCATGAAAAACGGGTTCACACAATAAAGTCAGCTCTTCAGGATGGTCCCTCCTTTATGAGACGTTATTATTGTCCCCGAATCCTCAGAGTAGACCTCTCGGTACGTATGAAACTATGTAGTTCACAAGATGTTTTTCTTCCGAGATAGCTGATACACGAGCACGCAAGTACTATCCAGGCAGAAACAGCCGGCAACTTGATAGATACTAATATTACATTCAGGAATATGAAAGACGGGCGTTCATGAAGGTCAGAATGATGATAGACGGGATTGATCTTCTTCCTTCTCATGTTCCAATTTGCTCAAGATCTTAGATACACGATGTGAGAGTTTGGGCTGCCCATTAGCGTGTTGGATCTTAGCTCTTGCGGGCCTATTCGGAGTCTTGAGATGATGATTGGACTGCTGAGGATCTCGGGTTTTAGTAGTCGATTCTTTCAGGCTTGCTTTCAACTCGCTCGATGATGGGTGATGGTTCTGTTGAGCTCTTGCAGAGGATTTCGGATGATGTCGATCATGTTGATTCGACGAATTTTGGGACTTTGTAGTTGAAGGATGTGACGAGTCTTTGGGACGTTCTTGGTGAGAATTTTTAGGCCTTCGAGAGTCCGATGGTCCCGGTTGGGTTCTCCGACTATCAGTCCGCCCCGAAGGTTGATCCTCTTGATGATTATCCGTTGGACTTTCTGGGGCTGGACCCGAGGTGGTGGTGTCATAGCCTGCCTTAGCGAGTTCCTTTGCGCGTTGTTTCTTCAACTTGGCCTTGTGAATCAATGTCTTTTTGATCTTTTCGGCTTGATTTTTTTTTTTTTTGAACCGTGGAAGGGAATGGGACCATACAGGAGCTTCAGCTAAAAAGTTTCTTTCTATCCGATCAAAATTCAATCAAAACTGACCTTTCCCAAGGTAAACCGATTGAGATACTCCAGGTTTATTCTTCCCAATCCTGAACCCTTTCGAGCGTTTCCATGATGGATCCTGTTGATTGGTAGGTTTCTTGGGAGGGATTGACATTGGGTAGATGTTTCGGTTCGTGGTGAGTATGACTATGTGGCTTGTTTTTGCTTTGAGTGAGTCTTGTTCTCCCCGCAGGATGATTGGCTGGTGCCGATTTATAGTTTGAGGTGGTTTTGCATATTCATAATGACCTACTTGGCTGTGTTCAGCATAGATTGACAAAAACTTCTGAAACGACTTTCACAATTTCATTAACTCGATTTCCAGATGGGCAAATGCAGCAAAGGTAATACGTTGATCAGTCAGACTACATAATGGCCTCAAATCGCGAGTGAGCTGAGGCTGTTTCATTAAATCTTAACAGATAAACGGGATATCTACTATCGTCTTGGAAAGTCCGAAGGTTATCGAGCTCGATCGGCGTATAAGCTGATCCATCTTGACGAGCTGTATGGACTGTTTAACCATCCGAGCCAGGCTGTTGACCGGGTCATCGATCTATGTGCAGCTCCAGGGAGTTGGTCGCAAGTATTAGTCAAGAAGCTCAAGTGAGTTATCGAGATCGTAGAGAGAAGAAGGGGAGAAACCACTGAATTCGAGGGTTTTCCTGAGCCATTTGATTCGGTTATTGGATTTAGTGAAACAAGGTCTGCTGAAGAAGAACCAGCCAAGATCGTCGCAGTCGATCTCCAACCAATGGCACCGATCGATGGAGTGGTCCAGATTGTAGGGGACATCACCAAACTGGAAACAGCGACCAGCATTCTATCTCATTTCGAGGGTCAAAAGGCCGATCTGGTTGTTTGCGATGGAGCTCCTGACGGTTAGTGTACTGTCACCCACTCAAACGAACCCAAAGACCATGTTCATTCTTTCACTCTATTTTCATTCCTGATTCATCGACTGCCCAGCTCATACAATTTTCTTCAATTTTAACTCAAGTCACCGGTTTGCACGATCTTGATGAATTTGTCCAGTCTCAATTACTTCTAGCTGCAAGTCAAAAATTGGCATTTGATATTTTTGTTCCTTCACATGTTCCCTTCCTTAACTTAGCCGAATCCTTACTGACATCCTTCATATCCATTCGCTTGATTCTTCGTTTTTGATTTGCATAAACAGGCACTCAATATCACGCTTTCGGTGCTCAAACCGGGCGGGACGTTCGTTGCGAAGATCTTCCGCGGAAGGGATGTGAATATGATCTACGATCAACTGTTGAACTTCTTTGGTGAGGTTGATTGTGCAAAACCGCGGAGCTCGAGGTCTTCTAGCATAGGTTGGTTATTTCCTTACCTACCCTTCTCTGTGGTTGTTTGTTGATGTATCTATGCCCTGAAAATCACAGAGGCATTCGTTGTTTGTAGAAATTATGCCCCGCCCGATGGTTTTGTGCCAGACATGAGCCACCCGCTACTGATGAATCCGGCCACACGCTGTCCATCTGACGAAGGCACTTCCCAAGATCTACGCCGGATCCTTGATTTTGTCGCCTGTGGTGACCTCTCTGCCTGGCCGGACTCGGACATGAACTATCCACCGCCATCGCCAGGGATCAACGAGGGGCCAGAGGACTCGAATCCTATTGCCCCTCCAACTGAGCCTCCATATAAAGAATGGCTGTTGAAGAAAAGTCGGGGTGAACTTTGAACCCTCGGTCGCCAAAGCCGATCCAGCATCCAATATGCCCATCCAAACCCCATCCACGCTCGCGTGTTCCATTCAGAACATTGTAAGACAGGATCACGCATGATTCTCCCCTGTAATGTTCGTCATGACCATGCCGCTGTTTCCCCAAACCCCCAGATCATTCGAAAACTCATCCAGTCTTTCTGCCCTCTCTTTCTCTTGGGTTTCCCATCTTTGTTATCATTCCTCATTTGTAGTCTTGACTTGAATTCGACCATTCTTTGTTGTGTGTAACCTCACCCCAGGATAATCGCTCACTATACGTATTGAATGACAATCCCAAATCCAAATTGTGCGACTGAAGTGAATCTGTTGATCACTAATTGGGATTGGCTGTTGATCTATCCGAGGTGCTACATACTGAGAGTGCCTCGGTGGAAGGAAGCATTCGCCGTTGCAGCATAGTTGTATGTATCTCCGGTCAGTCTCGATGACCCGTCGCGACTCAAGGAAGACAAGCCTGATCAACATCAGCAGCAGCTCGAGTGTGTTGTGAGTGGGCATGGTGCTGGTTTCGAGTCGACTGAGTTTCATCTGCCAGTGGGAATACACTCACCCATACTGAATCACTCATACAGCAAGCAACCAAGCATCTCTCACTAAAACTCTGAGCATTTCATCCCTCTCCCTCCAAGGAAATCCTCGAGACAGCAAGACCAACTTCTCAAGATACCAATTCCCTTCCCTGTTGTACCACCCGCCATGGATTATCACCCTCCAGCCTCGACTATCCAAGCCCAAGCTCAGCAGCAGAGCATGGCCACCCCCGAGAGCCGACATCGATCCAATAGCCATCAGCCCTCACCCAAGCATTATCCCCACCATCCATCCCGCCCCGCCCCTCGAGCCCGACCGGGCCCACTCAGCCTCAGCCGATTCCTCTGGAACCCACTCCGGCGCACTCAAAGGGCACCCTTCCTGCCTATCAGTGGTACCACCCCCCCACCTGACTCTCTCGGTCGGTCGGCTCCCTCCAGGCCCAACCAGGCCGGCATCGGCTTCCTACTCCTACTCGCCGGAATCTCGTGCTATCTCCTACTCGTCTCACTCATCGACCAGCCCAACTCACTCCAACTCGACCCGACCATCGACCCAACAACTCTCCTACTCCGGCCTCCCGGTGACCCACGCAAGCCAATCGATCTTACCCATCCAAATCGAGCCTCCGTCGCCCTCAGCCAGAGTCTCATCCAGCGTGAAAGCGGATTCTATCTACGCATGCAGCATGCCATCCATCCCAATATCACCAGCCTCAACTCCTCCTCACTCGTTCGAGCCATCGAATTCGCCCAGAAACATCTCAGCGAAGTCGACAAGATTGATCAGCCTGAGAAATGGTATGTGTCCGACCAGGCACTAGTTCAGAACCGACCGGCCTCCCGGTTTCACTGTCAGCCCAACTCGCCTACTCTGCTCTTCCTCGGCATCTTCACCACCCCATCAGGATTCGAGAAACGCAACCTGATCAGGACACTCGTCAAGGCTGACCTGCCACCCAACGCGCTCATCGAGCTCAAGTTCATCTCCGGCGAACCCAAGAACGAGAACTGGATGGAACTCATCAAGGCCGAACAGGCCCTCCATCACGACCTCGTCATCATCAAAGACTTGGAGGATAATATCGATCTCGGCAAAACTTATCAGTTCTTCAAATGGATCTCCCAGAGGGAGAAAAGACGGCAAGATCTGCATCTTCATCATCAATTGCCTTCGACTGATTCATTGCCAGAATCCGAACGAGTCCGTGATCAACTCGGGCTCAACGGATGGCCCGAACACTCCCTCGACTCTTCCATTGATGATCGAGATCCCAGGAAAGTGGTCTATGGCAAACCGAAATTTGTCATCAAATCAGACGACGATGTAAGCTCTATTTCTCTCTTTATTTATGGTCACATGACACGCTTGAAATAAAGTCTTCAATCGTCTCAAATAAAGATACAAAAAACAAGCAAAAGAAAGACAACAAAAAAGCAAAGAAAGACAACAAAAAAAGAACAAATTTATTAATGACTCTTCTGTTTGGGTTTTGGTTCCTATTTATCTTCTAGACTTTCTTGGTTATACCTAATTTACTTAAGGCATTCAAAGATTTAGATTGTCAGAAAAATTTTTATTGGGGGACCAGTCAAGGATCCAGTAAACTGTTTGATCCGTATTTTAGAGGTCTTGGATATGGACTAAGTTGGCCACTTGTAAGTGCATTTTCGAATTCACAAGAATAGGAAGAATCGATTCTCATCAAGCGACGGCTAATTTATTTTCTCTTTTGAATTCAGGTTGAATGGATAGGCACGTCGAATATGAGTTTGAAATCTCAAGTGGGGATCGAAGATGCACGAGTGGGAGCCTGGCTGACGGATCTGGATCCGGTCGCGGATCCCTTGGTGAGGATCAATGAGGGATGGAAGATGGCGGATTGGAATCAAGTGGAGATCGACAAGGAGGTGATCGCTTTGCATTGGTTAAAGAATACCGAATGGTAGTTACTCCTTTGCTCTTCTTCCCTCATCTTATACAGATACGCATAATTCCGGATTTGCTGAACTTCCTCATCTCTCTTCTCTCCCTTTTCTCTCTCAATGGTGAAGGTTTCCGATGATCAGACTCAAGGTGATCAAAGTTTGGGAATCCGCTCATCAAGCGTATCGATGGGATTATTTCCTATGAACATCTACTTCTTGAAACATGCATCCAAGAAGCCTCAAGCCGCCTATATTGACCAGCCGCATTTCCGATAATTGTCCCCACATTGCATGTCTAAAAACGCCACGCACATCGATCGGATCATTTCCTTTGAACATCTCTTTCTTGATCTTGTGCTTCAAATACATATGCATCCAACAAGCGTCAAGCCGCCTATATTGACCAGCCGCGTTTCCGCTGATCGTCCCCGCACCGCACTTCTAAACGCCAACCCGGACGATCAACATTCAAAATATCTATCAATGAAGATCTTCTTTTGACTCTGATCGACATTATTCTCTCCAACCAAAAAACACCCACTAATCCATCTCTTGTTTATCCTTCTGCTCCAATAGATTTGTAGATTGTCTTCCAATTTCGGTCTTGTATTGCCTTTTTTTTGTTCCCCATAATACTTTAAATATCTGTATCTTAGCAAGCAAGCATATACCCCTCTTCGTAGTTCTTTTCAGTCTGTTTTTCTTTCTTTGTTTGATATCTTTTTTTTATGCATAGATCTCTAAGGTTCTTACATAATGGCTTCGTTTTTATCATATTTGTTATAAATCGCTATGTAGGGCGGGTCTTGTACATATCACATCTCGTCATTTGTCGCTTCTTGAACACACATATCATTGGCCAAATCCTCCTCGTTTTTTTTTTCTTCTCTGTGGGCTTCATTTATCCATCAGATGTTCTTTGGTTTCAGCCGTTAGGAATAGAAGGAAATGCGGGTACTTCTTTTTCCGTTTTGGTCACGAAAAAAGAGGGTGGTTTATGTAGTCGATCTGCTGGGTGCTTGTCCTTTGGGTCGACGCACAGATTGATAGAAAGATAAGCTTGCTGGGGGTTAACTCTAGGTTTACTCATGAGGTCGACCCTCGTGGACCTCTTGCATCCAGAAGCCCTTACTTCTCATATTTGGACAACTTGCACATTAAGATTAGTGCGCAATGTCAATTTAAAGAAAAAAACGCACAACAAGTCACCTCGTCATGGCTTGTCTGCCCATGCCAATCACCTCGACCAGGGCTTTCCTGCCCCGATCCTTCATTTCTTCCTTGCAATACTATATTTAGTTGATTCCGCTGATGCAAATGGCCGTCCAGGTGCGGGCTCAAAGCATGAACAATAAGGATTCGAACCTTATCAAACTAAGCTTGCGAAGTGTTGTCGGCCATCGTCGCCAAATTGATGGTAACCGAATCCAAGCACTGCTCACTTCTAGATGGTTACACGGGTAAACTTCAGCCCATCACGATGGAGTGTTGGAGAAAAGCGTTGTGGGACAGCTGAGTCAAAATCCACAAAACATTCTTGTTGATCTGGGAGCGCAGAAGTTGAGGGCCCGTTATCAAAGCCTGGCCAGGTCTTCAGGGATGGGAGAGAACCACAGCGCGTGTCTTTGAGAGTTTGGTCTCGCCCTGTGGCCGAGTCGGGCTCGCAAGCTGTGATGGCGACAATGTATCATGCATCCGTGCATCGCAAGCCGGCCGGTCGAGCTCGCTGAGTTCTCATTTCTGTTTGCCCCATATATCCACTTCGCGTCCACACAGCACTTTCTCATCTGAGAAACCGGGAGTGTCTGTACTAGATCTTAAGCGCGCTATGTGTTCTGCGGACCGAGTCATCCATCAACCTGTGTCTACTACATATCAGCAAGGCAGCTGAATCCTAGAAAGCGATTGGGAGAAGATAATTAGATACATATATCTTGACAGAATTGGCTTTATTTTGAGCGATTCAGCTCTGGATTGTAATTCTGATCACGGCCAGTTATTGAAGTTTTTTTTTGATCCTTACATCGACTTACACTCCTCAAGACTTGATTGATCAATCCTTATACCATCATGAATTGCATCATGGCTATCGGGAATATTCCAAGCACGATTTTCAACGAGTATCCGCAGATGAAGACCTATAGGAACCGAAAGTTACCGATGTCCAGTTGAGTCCCTCTCGTTGTTGCAACTTCATCCATCCCTCGCCGAAGGTGCCACCCATGATCAAGGCTGACCGACTCTAACGCGCTTTGAACAAAAGTATTTCTTGGCGCTGTAAGCTTAACCTCATAGAAATTGGTTACAGAGCCCGTTTGGCTCGGGTTGGGTTATAATGGATGTGTTGTGTTGATTTTTTTTTTACTCGTCTCATATTTCAATATAGATACTGGTTTTTAGCAGCTTGATCATTTTCAACCTCTTCACCCAGTCAGTGCCCCTTCTGTTCTTCCCCGTTCTGTCTATCTAACTCACACATCGTATTTCCAAAAAGAGGAAGGTCGGATAAATCGCGGTGAGTATCAGGCGGCCAAGTTTTTCATAAATAGTTCCCGAAACGGCATTCCCCCCCCCCCCCCCCAAAAAAAAAAAATACTAACATGGACGACGCGTTTGTTGTTGGTTTGATGAGACCGTTCATATCTTTAAAGTTTCTTGATGAAAAGTTGCATTCGCATGGCAAGAGCCCATCAGGATACAAGTACAGCTGCGATACAGCTACAGTCAGAATGGGTGATAATGTGTTCATGGTTATTCCAAGCGAGCCGCCGGACGAACCGATGACGGAGTCGGAGGGCCAGCTAGGATCTCCGGGCGCATTTCAATGGACTGTCTACGAAATCACCAGGGCTGATCGGGAGGAGAAGAAGAATGAGTTTCGTTATCGCGGCCAAAAATTAAACTGCGTCGTAAGTCATTCGAAGATTGTTGAGCTCATCCGTTTCTTTTTAAACCTCGAACCGTTTTGTTTTGTTGCTCAAGCCTCAAGCAAGTGTTTTCTCTGTATTACTCCAGGTTACATTCGTCAAAGCGATTTACCAATTCATGCATCATAACTATATCTATAGGTAAAAAAACCGACACCAGACCGTTTATGTACCTGCACGCAAAGGGTTTCTTGAGCTGACATAAATGTGAATGCATGGATTCGTAGCATTTGTGGCAACTGTACCTATCTTGATACCAATGGGACAACTGAGACACTAATCAGAATGACATTGTGCACTACCTATGATCATTCCACAGCCAAGTAAGTTTCTTCTGCTGAGGTAACTCTTCACTTGGACTGCTCATGCATCCCACTAAAAATTCTTGGTGGCATTATCTTTCACAAATCCATTGAAATTGCTACTCTATGTAGTATACCCTCGGCTCATCGGAAGGGCCAACCCGAGATTCGAACATATGTCTAGTGAGCAATCCAGCTTAGAACAGCGTTCAAGCTCATGATGAGCAAGGAGGCTGATCGGTGTGGAAGTGGAGTATTGTAGTGAAGTGCTCGAGAAAATATTCCCCACGTTATCGATCCCTCCTTCCACTATGCCGTTATCTGTCTATCCACCATATTACAATGAGACACAGTCAAACATATACAGGAACCAGGAGATCACACGGCGGAATGTGTCGCAACTGACGATCTGGCTTGGCAATGTCACCTTTATCCCGGCAGCTGACTTGAGCGATGTACCGAGCCAGTTAACACCGGGCACAATTGTGGCGCCTCAGGGCACAGTTCTTGTTGAAAATTTGTCGAACCCGGGGAGCTACTTTGAGGCCTTCAAGAAAACTGACGAGAAATCCTCAGGTTTTCAGATCTCAGTCGTGGGTGTCGGGGAGGTCCGACCGTTCCGCCAACACGAATACAATCTCACCAAAATCCCATTGATCCTCGCCCAGATGTTCAACTACTCTTACTCGATCAACGGGCTCTTGATGAATTTGGCCGCCGCTGATCTCAATCAGAAGGAGATTGGAACCCATTACTTATGTAATGCCACTCGAAAAGAATGGCTGCCCGGCACGAAAGTCTTCTCAGCCACCTTCGGTAACTCGATGGGCACGTTTGGGATCTGCTTTTCTATTATGGTTCTGGTGAGTGCATTAAGACTTCCGTCTAATTTGCTCGATGGAATTCGAGTTTGTCTAGACTTTCCTCACATCTAATTCTAGCAAGTTGATTGGCATTCAAGTCCGGATATTGATTTACTTTCTCTTATCCTTCTGATATTCAGGTTGCTCGTCGATTAGATAATCTTCCAACAAGGCAACGGGAAACAGATCGGCAATCAGACAGTTCTGGAACACTTCACTTGGAAGAAGGTGAAGATCACCCACTCAAAAACATTGAGAAATGAAGTTCTTTCTCATTTTATTGTTACTACTTGGACTGGATTCTGATTCAGTCATTTTCATTGGTTTTGGCTTTAACATCTGCACTCAAAACTTTCCATCTGTTGAAACCATCCTCTAACTTATCTGTGGCCTTTTGGACTAAAATGAATAGACTAAAAAACCTTGACCTAATTCTTTGTATTGTTGTAGAGAACAGAAAAAAAAACATGCCAAGCAATCCATTTCTCTCAACTTCAGAGCTTATAGTTCAACTCTTCTCAATTGGAAGCCAATCATAACATTCATCTCATAATCCTGAAGCAACCAATGTGTGGGGGGGGGGGGGTAGACTACAATAAAAAAATGAGAAGCTTATTGCAATTAATATTGTTGTCTTTGGGAGTACGTTCACTATGAGAAAATATCACCAAACTGGTGGCAGTTGACATGCAGGTTACTCCCAATGTAACTTCTTCCATACTGTAATCTATTCCAATGTACCAATGTAAGAATTTCTGCACAGTGACTGTGTATTGTAGTATGACTGAGGTAATGGTTGAGTAAAATCTGAGTAACAACCCAAGCTTGAAGAGAGTTTCTGCATGTCAACTGGCAGCAGTTCCTTGATATTTTTTCACAGTGGTTGCTGGGCTGCCTCAGATTGACTTTGAAAGCCAGAAAGTTGGGAGTGGGGGCTATTGAATTGAAGGTTGGAACAACAGTGCAACAAGTTCAGTAGGTGTATTTGTATTTGCCATTGTACTTTCCAACTTCACATATCCACAGAATTGTATTGTATTCCTCCTTGAGTACAGTGCCTAGACAGTGAAAAGCAGCATCCCATTTGCTTTTGGAAGGCAAGGAGCCACTTTTCAACTCCATTTTTTTTGTTTGTCACAGGGGCACAGTGGGTCAGGGAAAAAGAATACAGAAACAAATTAATTTCATATTCAATCAAAAAAAGATAAGAATTGTTGAAAAAATTATCAAATTTTGTAGTTTTTTCAATATTGATGTTAAAAATCCCCAAAATTGGGGGGGGGGGGGGAGGGCTGCACTGGGAGTGGAGAAGAAATAATATATAAAAAAAAACGTTATTTTTTTTATTGCTTGAAAATCACCTTCTTATAAAGGCTGAATAAAAAACATGTGTTTTTTTGCTGCGCGCAGCACACATGGGTTCCACATTTGGACAAGCTTTTTTTGTATTAATTATTGGGACTTGGTCAACCGACTCCCAATAAATGGAGAGCCAACTCCCAAACCCGGGTTTCCCCAAAATTTGGGAGTTGATTCCCCAAATCCATCTGTGGGTTTGGGAGTTGGCCCCCAAAAAAAATCAAAAAGAAAAAAAAAAGAAAAAACCCTGGAGGGGTTGGGTGTCAATGCCCTAACACCAAGTGGTTTTGGGGGGTCGGTGATTAAAAAAAAAAAAAAAAAAAAAAAAAAAAACAGGGGGCGGGAGGATTCCTCCCGGCCGTGGAGCTTTGGGGCATCAACACCCAACCCCTCTGGGGTGTTTCTTTTTTTTATTTAAATTTTTTTAGGGGGCCAACTCCCAAACCCACGGATGGATTTGGGGAATCGACTCCCAAATTTCAGGGAAACCGGGGTTTCAGAGTTGACTCTCCAATTTTTGGGAGTTGGTTGATCAAGTCCCTAATTTTTTTACCTTATTTTTTTTAAGGATTTTTGAAATTTTAAATTTATTTCCTTGGTTTGTGTTGAAATTTTGAACTCAGCACGCATGAATTGAGGGCCAAAAAAAGGAAGGGTTTCCTTTTTTGGGGAGAGGCTCAAGGAAAAAGAATTTTTTACCCACGAGTATCTAGCCAGGTTTTAACAGACTAAGTACAAGTGCACAAAATGTGGTAGAAATGAAAATGAATAAAGAGTGGTTTTGGATAAAACTGAGAGGAAAAATATACAAGTTCATGGCAGAAATAACCGGACAAGTCTTTTCAGTCTCTTTGAGACAACCTAGTAAAATTAATCATGAGAAAACATAGGCTCCACCACAAATGAATAAGAGTCGTTAATTCTAGACAATCAGATTTTAATCAATCAAATAATGAAATAGAAAAAGAAAGAGTTCAATCACAAAGACAGGAGTTGTTGATAAAATTTGTCAGCCTGAGTGATGCCAAGAGCTGTTCTCTTCTAGCTACACCAGGTGCAAACTAAGAAAAAGGTATGTACAAGTGTGGGTAACACTTGGAATGGGGAGTTTTTGATATTTAAGAAAAGAGATAATAAAAACTGTTAAGTTTGTATAAAAGGAGGGGCCTGAGCTACAGGGGTTTTTATGGTGCCCTCCAATGAATCAGGACCTGTTAAAACAGGGGTATTTTTGATGTACCTGATGATCTGGTCATTTGTAATAAAGGAGTATGCCCAGACAATGCCTACAACTGAAGTGTCAAAGAAATATTACCTACTTAGTACTATTTCCAAGCCAAGGGGACTTCAGGTGGGTAAAACCTGGTCTGGAAGCGCTCAGAAAACTGGGTAACAGGTGGTGGAAGAGTGCTGGGGAACATTTGTTGGTTGGTTGGGTGAAATTCAGGATGAAAAACAGCAGGAACTGGACCAAAAAACAGGTGAAAACTGGTTGTTGGAGGTGGTTATTGCTGGTAAGTGATGATGAAGATGGGGAATTAGAGATCGGGGGCCAGGAGGTCTCCTGATATAATCATTCTGGGTCCTTGGAGGCAAACTCGCAACTCTATCTTGCAGGTGCAAGCCTCCTACTAAGAATTGGTGACCTGTAGCACTGCATAGACACCTGTAGTCCTTGGTTACAGGTGTCAGAGGGCTGAAGTGAGGCTTTTAAGACACACTGAGGGGTTCTGTGACAAAGCTGCAGCCATGTTTTGGTCACTGGGACCCTTTAATGACCAGTGGGCTGGTCCTAAAAAGGCATAGTTAGCCCAATTGGGCCCAAAATAGAGATGGCCCCGGCGCATCCGGATATCCGGCTGCTTTTTCCAGGGAAATTGCCATCCGCATCTGCACCCGCTGGCGGGTATCCGTCGGCCGCAGCGGGTATCCAAGGATACCCGCCCTTTAAAGGGCGGGCAAGGTACATGCTTGAAAGTTGATGGCTGGAAGGAAAACCTTCCAGCCGGCAAGGTACATGTACCTTGTTTACTGGAAGGATTTCCTTCCACCCGCTGTAAGACTCAAAAAGTGGTTGTAAGACCCTTTTTGTTGAATGGAGAAGGGGATGATGGAGGTGCAAGCTCTGCCCTTCTATACTATCAGATAGCAAGACCAACCAAGCTCAGCTTGGCAAGTTTTGATCAAGTGATAGGGTAAGTTCAGGAATGAGTTTGTGTGATGCTGAGAAATGAGTTTAGTTGTTATTGGTGTTTGGTAAGGTTCTGTAAAGGTGGTGTATCTTTGATTGAGTGGTACTAAACTGTGACTGAAGAATAATACACTGAGGAGACAACAACTGGGAGGAGAGCCGGGTGTTGATAAATGCACTCCTCCCCGCTCCCCGCACGCCCACGCCCCGCCCCTTTTG